GCACTCAGGGGCATTGGGACCAGGAAACTGGCCTGGATCTAATGAAAACGAATGATAATATAAATGTGATATAAATGGAATAAAAGTCAGTTATACAGCAAATTATGTTATGAAATGTAGATTATGTTGTAAAATATAGTAATATTGGGCATTAAATTATATGTGATTTGTAACTAACAATCATTTGTAAGAGCAATTTATTAGTTACTTATATTGTGAAATATAGCATGAAATTGTAAAATATAGTTAATAATGTTGCAAAATTTCGCTCAAAATACAGTATAATTATATTGGACATTAAATATGATTTGAAGCTGATCATAGGATAACTTTGTCAAAATTTGGGTTTAAGGCAAAAAAATTGAAAAATAAATGTACTGTAGTAAATACTAGTATCAAATTTATTAATATTTTTTTGGAATTATAAAAAAATATTTAATAAAATTGAAATTCGATTGTATATGGATATTATATTTAAATCTCGAATTCAGTGTTGTTATAAGAGTTGCTGTTAAAACGTAGGTTCCAATGATTGCTACATCAATATCAATAATTTAATTATTTATTTATACTTGTTTCGGCACAAGATATGAGTTATCATTCAGCTGGAGTAAATATTTAAAATCTAAAAATTTATTAAACAGCAAATCATCATTAATTACAGAACTTCTTTACAAAAAAACATGGTTACAACAGAAAAATTGTATATGAACGACGTATCATTTAATTTTGCTTAAAAATGACTAAAAAATTTAGTGAAATTATAAAATTGAATTGCTTTCTATTTGGTACATAATATCAATATATTAAATACTGTTATCAATTGTATATGTGTTATTGATTCGCAAAGTGTGTCGTATCGTGTCTCTCATATATTCTATTCTTATTACAGTAGGTACTGACCTGGCCCAAAATGATCCATCCCAAAGTCGCCTCAAGCAACATCATCACTTATAACATATGTATCACTGATATATAAATTTGTTGGCAAAATAAATCACTGATTTATGCCAAATCGTAGTTTCTCCGACGGTTAGGTTACGTTATGTATTGCACTCACGTCCAACACTGAACCGCTCCGAAACAACCGCGTTTGAAAAAAAAAAATTCTTTCACAATTCAAACAGTGATTCCGTTAAGAGGCAAGAATGATGATTATTTTGAGATCCGATATCTAAGTTTTTACTTCGCTTTGTCAATACGAAGACATACGAATCCGATCCAAAACTGGTTTGTCCAGCAGCTCTGGTTTGTAGGACTTTGTCATTGTATGGTAATTCGATTTATATACATTAATAAAACCATAATGTTCGTCGTCGATAGGCATACATGGCTAACAGAACAAGTTCGGAGGACAATGAACTGTCTTTAAGACACAAGATCATAAACGTTCTTAAGAGCGACATAAAAAGTGCGATGAAGACTATGTTGACAGGCACGTTTATTTTGAAACGACCAGCATCGGCAACATCGGCAACATCGACTAGGCGAGGGATAAAAGAACGAGGAATGCAACGAGCAAAAATTTATTTAATTTTAAATAAGGGTGCAAAATTTCCAAAAAAAATGCAGATTCTATGGTAATTCAAGAAATCATATTGGTCATTAGAGCTTAGACTCGCATCTCAGAGGTACCAGTACGGAATTCCGGCACAGTGTGCAAAAAAGTTGATATGAGTAAAAATTGTATTTATATATTGAACAACATATTTAAATATTAATAAAAATAAATGAGCATTGATATGTTGCAATACCATTGAATAGAATGAAAATGAAAAGAATGTAGTAAGTAATAAAGGCCAGTAAAAATAAGTCTATATGTATTATTATATTGTTTCATAATATACGTACATCCAAATAATTAAAATCCGATACTAAATCAAGTTATGCAAATTCATGAACTCTAAATGATTTTCTAAAATAATCAACTTGAGAGTCAATGACTAACTTCGACAACTATTATCAAAATATTATGTCTATCTGTCATTCTACATTTTTTACCTTCCCGAAGACAAACTTCAAATCCGATACGGTAATTTTAAGTTTTCTCAAGTTCAATCGTCATTCTGAATCGTTTGTTACCGATATTGCAAAATTTAAGTGTTTGTAAGCTGAAATTTGACTTTTCGTCAAGGTTTACCCAAAAACTGTTGCACCGATTTAAAAAATTACAAATGCCTTTGATGAAACTGAGAAAAAGACTCAACTTCGCTAAAGAGTTTTTTCATATTTAGCAGATATGTCTAAAAATTTTCCATCAGATCAACAATAGGTCTGAAATCTGCATATTTAATTTTTCTATAACAAATCGGAAAAACCAGTTTATATATTGCAATAGTACCTGCAGATTTTTACTAATGAGTTGATCTACATTAATGAGAAAAATGTCATGCAAGGACAAATATAACAAGGTTTGATAAATGGATAATTTTGCAATTATAAGATTAAAAATATTTTTCCATTATATTTCCAATCAAAATGTATCATTTGTATTAGATTCATTCTAATAATAAAAATATAGAGTGGTCAACCGTTGGGTTTTTTCCCAAAAATCGACGTCGAAGGAGAAAATTTAACTGAACAGCTCGCAGGAGTTCTGATAGATGTTCCAAAATAATAAATTTGCCTTAAAGAAACTGTGATCGTGGAAATTAGAAATTAAAATTATAGCAAATCGTATTTCTGTCAAAACAAACTTCTTATTCAGGTAGTTATTAAAAGCGTAAAATTATTCTATAAATATTTTTGGATTCAGATTTTTCTTGACGAAATAATTTAAAAAATTTCAGGGATCTAATATGCCGAAATGTTATATCGCGATTTAACCGAACTTTGTCTGTTGTTTTGATTAATCATATAAAAAGCATTGAGCAAATTAGAATAATATATATTTTTTTATATTGTTTACGTACTTTAATAAATAAGTAGGTGATTTACCTTATACATTTGCATTGCTCAACAACCCGCATAATAACATCACCGATAACAACAATATTTATATAAAATGAAACCTAAAACACTAACTCATTTCCAAATGCAATTTCAGTCGCAAAGTGTCACATAAAATTCAATAATAAATTAATATTTAATTAGTGGTATTTTATTACATGTGAATGGCATAAATCACAACTCGTAATGTTGCTACCAGGATCATGTTTGATTTGTGTGATTTTGGTGAGATTATTTATGATTTATATTGAGAAATTGAGATTTGTTCGACATTTTTATAGCATGTTTATTGTCGATAAGCTTAGTTTATGAGTTTGCAAACGATCCGATTTGTATAAGTATTGTAGTGAAATTTGTTATTTGAGAAATATTGTTCAGCCATATTGTGTTATTTAGTCATAGAATATTAATTAATTTTATTTATGTACCAAGAAAATGCGAAAAAGGTTTAGTATTTTCATAAAAAAAATAAATGTGGAATAAATGTATTGGTTTATAAAATTACATTAGCAATAAGTTGTGATATAATGGCTATGAACTAATTCCTTAAACAACATTGTTGATCCTAGATGATATAACAGTAAACACTATTTTTCTAATGGATTTTAAATTTTTGGAATCGGTATATTTGTTTTTCAGAAAACGTTGACTAAAAGCGAAGATACACATACTTTTTCAATATTGGTGTCAAACAAATCAGAAATACTTGAAATCTTGAGAAAATATGATATCAGCCTCTGGCGAAAACAAACTTCTTCGACAAGTTAATCAAACATATACAACAAATCAATAAATGCTAGTTTTTTATATATAAATTATACTTGAAGCCTATTTTTTACTAATTTTTTCCTTCTCTTTTTAGATTTGGCAACCCTCAATTTCGGAGCAAGCTCTTCCAACAAACAACACCAGAAGTATAGCAACTACTGCCTACATAGCCTCAAACGCCATAAGAGAATGGTTCGATAATTTTTCACAAGGATTAAATAGAATCGGTTTCAATAATAATAATAGCAATGATGGTCCTTCGAATGTTGCAGAATTTAGTCACGATTATTTAACGGCCGACAGATTGGCCAGCTGGTTGAGAGATCATACGAAGTTCTTCTCATATTTGAGGGACAAAGCTAATTTGTTCCATTTGCAAAAAATTATGAAGATTTCTGGTGCAGCCTCAAATCTAATTCCATCGACGGCTAAGGTTATGCCTGATGTTCGAGTTGGTAATGGGACTAATTCGACTAGTGTTTAATAAAAATATTTAGCAATATAATAAGTTTGCAATAGTCGTATAAAAATTGATTTACCAACAACTCTTTTTAAAAAATATATAAACATTAAACTAATAAATATTGTTGTAAAGGAGATTTCTGATATTTTATCTAATTTAAGTTGTTTTTATTAATTTATGATAAATATTATTTGATTTAATTTCTGCAGCACCTCAATGTACAAAACAAATAATAGTATTTTACGAAGTTGTCGCTTCGAATAGAGCGCTAAAATTACACAAAATAAATAACATTGTAAAAATGAAGTCATTTTTAAATTTGATCTATTTAAGTGAAATTAATATTATTTTATAATATGACAATTTCTTAATTATATCACAAAAATACAAATCCAAACATACTTACAAATATACAATTAACATTTATCACCATAACGCTTTAATAACATGTAACTTACATATAACTTTTTATATGAATTTATGTAAAATGAAACGTTCTTCTTTTAAAAATATTCCGTTAATATTGTATTTTTACTTTATTCTAATTAATTGCAATATGTTTCAACTTATAAGTTGCAAAAGAAAAATATCTCAATCGCAATAAAACTGGAGTTTTTTTTTCATATATACTGCAACTACACGAACCTTAACGTTATGTTTAAAGTTATAAGTTTATGGTATTATATAAAACATTTCGCATCTACAATCATCTAATTCTTGTAAATAATTTACTTTATAACTATTTATACAAATAATTTATGAACTAGGTCAAAATAAAAACCAATACAAAAGTTTTATAATTCAAAGTTTCACTCGCTGTATAATAAATGGAAAAATAAAGGTCGTACGGAAATGTAGAATTGTAAATGTAGAATCTTTTTGATTTTTTTTTATTTTTATATTAAAATCACTATATTTTCTATAAATAATAAGTGGCTTAAATCGGCGCGTATCCAAATTACAAGCTTTATTCTAAACCAGTTTTATTTTTATTTTATTAAGTATAATAACTATTTGTCCGTTACTATTATATTAACACGTAGTAGATAGATATATCGAATACAGGATTACTTGATAAATAATTCAATTTATGATTATATAATAATAATAATTCGTAGAAAGATATTTCTTATTTCAAATGTAACAATTTACATTGCTGTGCTTTCTTTGCCTTCAATTTGTGTGTTTTCCTCTTGTAGAGTATATATACCAGACAAACTTATGGCTGGTACGTCACCTAACATTTCGGGAAGCTGGTGCATGTATCGATCAGTTTCTGTATCGAAAAAGCCCCGTGGTCAAGATTTTGCCTCATGTTTCAATCTGTGAATAATTTCTTCATGCATAACATTGAAGCACATAGCAGTCAGAGCCATTCCGGCTAAAATATAGCCGGAACAAAACCACGTGGTGAACGTTGATTCATCTTGAATCATATCGCCAAAACCAACGGTGCTCAATGACATGAAGCAAAAATATAATCCGTCTATGAATGACCAGCCTTCGAGTTTGAGGAGCGAGAGAGCGCCTAGGCATATGTAGCCACTCATGGCGCCCAGGCAGAGCAATACTGGTGCGAGCAGGCTCAGGCCGCTCAGCTCGGGCGGCGAGGTGACGCTGTGGTCTTGCAAATAGAATGGTTCTTGTAATCCTAAACGCTCTTTACGCATTCTGCGCTCCTTGTCGGCCATTTGGCGCTCATCGTAACAGCAATATCCACAATTGGAACAAAGACAACAGCACAGGGCTCGGGAGAACACACCACGAGCGACCCTCGACAACAGACCGCCGGCACTTGACAAGTAGAGTAAGGTTAAGGGAATGCCGACGCTCGCGTAGGCCAAAGTCACCGCACGGCCCAATGACGTCCGCGGTGCTACGTTACCGTAGCCTGTTGGAAATTTAACGATACGTGAGGGAAACAATCGATATGCCAATTGAAAGCCAATAATAAAACAACAAATGAATAAAGCACTACCTAAACATCCACTGAAGATATTGATATAAGGTTAATTTAAAAACAAAATCGGATAACGCACATAATAAACATAGTAAATCGCATGCAACGAGCAACAAAAATATAATAAACCAAAACGCCTAAATCGCATAAGTATAAGATATATAAATCACACCATTCAAAGTTTTCTATAATAATTAATTCAACTTACCGATAGTTGTCAAAACTGTCAAAGAATACAGAAAAGCTCTTGCAAAAGTCCATTCATAATCACTTTGCACATGAGTTGAAACTGATACAACTTGCGAGTGAGATTGCGAATTGGATGGATCTAAATCCTCCGATAACTTCTTTACAAGCTCTTCTTGGAATCTGGAAATAGTTCATAAAAAATAACATTAGATGTCAAATATAGCTCATCAAAATTTCTGAATTGCCAAGATGTGGTATTCCGAGAAAAATGTTACTTTATGTACAATGTAAGTGGAAATAAATATACGCCAGATTTTAGACTGCACTATAATCACGTCTTTAAAAAAGTTATCATAAATCGCAATAAATGTGAAATTTTGCATAAAATATGCGCATAAACTTAATTTATAAAAAGAGCTTAAAAAATTTATTTTGCACTTAAAAGTAATAAAAAATATTGTTAATTCTAATGTAGCATTCTTACTTCAAAAATAATAGTGGTATGAAACAATTTAATTATTTGAATTTATAGCAACTATTATTCCTTAATATTTAATTTGATATCTCGTTTGGCATATATAACAAAAATTTAATATATTTACCTGGCTATTTCAAGAGCTGCCAACCTTGTCCAGTTTTCTCTGTAAAGAATATTTAATGAGACTGTTATATCCCAAATATTTTCTACTGTCCTGGCTCGAGCTTCCGCGTTGCTTCGGCTCCATTGTGCAATTGTTTGGTTTAGTGCCAACGACGATTTCAAGCTTTTACCTAATAACAACATAAATGCATTCTATTTAAGTAATGGCTATTTATCTTAATAACAATGTAATCTTCATTCCGTTTGTTTTAGATAGGTGAAAAAATAATTAGCAAAATGTAATGGTTAAAACAAAATAATTCTCTAATGTATTTGAAGAGTTCCAACGAGTAATTTAATAAAAAAAACTTCGGAATAAAATACATCGTATTCTAAAAAATCTGAATTCTTACCAGTATTCGGTCTCGTGACAGCCGCAGATGCAAGTGATCTCTGAGGAGCAATTGCAGCATCTCCTTCTATGGCCAAGAATATGAAGGATCCTGTAAAAGAAAATGGAATTATTTTATATATTATATAAATTTTTAAAATAGAGCAAAATATATACAAAATCTCATATAAATGTATAACGCAAATATGGACCGATACTATGTATATATTTTATTCAATAGTAATATCAAAATATAGAGTACCAAATTCTCTGTTCCAACCGCGCAAGAAGTTTACTATTATTATTATTACTACAAAAGTAACAGAACATTGCAATTATTTCTTAGCTTACAATAGTAGAAAGTAATTTAAGGCAAGTTGAAATTACACATTTTGCAATGGCATAAATATAAGTTAAGCGCATCGCAAATTTACGCCAAGAAAATGTACTCATTACATATTTATTATTCTGAAGAGACCATAAACAAGAAGCCACAACTTCGTACGAGCTTTCGCATATGAGTAATTCCATTTAAGCTAGGGACAAACTTGTGGCAAAATAAACACATACACATAGACATATATATATATATATATATATATATACAACCAATCTAAGTGCAAATGTTGCAGGCGGTGGATTCAATTTTCAGGTAAATTAATACAAACTTTGTGGTGCTATCACCTTGCGCAATTGCACGCTGAAAGTAACTACTGCAATATTTTTGAACAAACTAAACAAAGTGTGTAAAAAATGAAGAAGGCTATAGAACATTCTCGAAAAAATAGTAAATTGATTGTTATTAAAAATTTTCATGTTCGCTTATATAAAGGCCATGTAAAATCAATTATATTAAAACCAAATTAGACCAAATTATGATATTGTTATTTTGTTTCATTTTTATTTATAGTTCTAAAAATGCAAAAATTTTGACTGAATAGTTTTTGCTACTTCTCTATTTTTTATATATTTTAAACTGCAAACACAACTTAAAGGTAAAAGTTTCAAAAGGCAACGCAATGGTTGTTCTATTTATATTTGATATATTTTATATTAGATTTTTTTCATCTATATTTTTAAGAAATGTATAACACTACTGCTCGATATCAGATTTATTCTGGGATTTCGTGATTTTGAAACCAGGCGGTTATTACAGAGCTACAAAGCACCTAAAAACTCTCGATCATAAGTTCTTTCTTCTAAAATTTTAAATGCCTTTCTTTAAACTTCTTCAAATCAAAAAATGTAGATATTATTCATTTCATTGATTTATATATATATAAAATATGTAAATATAATGTATAGAAATGATCTAATAATTTTAGTTGAATTAATAAAATTATAAGTATATAATAAGCTTTATATGAATATATATATATATATATATATATATATATATATATTTACGTATCATTAACATTAAATTTATTTGGGCCACATATAACCGATCTCAAATTCAAATTTTATTTAATTTTTTGGCATGACGTGTTTAATTACCCGGAGTTTACTAATATTAAATTTTGGAAAAAAATGTTGTTACTTTGTAATTATTTAACTGTACAAATATAACGGAGAGATTCGTGCAACTTATTATCGAATAACATATGATGCAGTCCTGAAGATAATATTGCAATAATAACCGTTATTCTTGCCAAGATCCGATGAGCAAACAAAATAAATCGACAAAATCAAAAGGAATAAAATACTGTATCTTTTGGAGTTCAAGTTAGTATTCGATATAATTTTCGCACGTGCAGATGTAAAATGATTTTAAATATGAAAACTTTCCACCAGAAATTTTGTTCGTTAGAGAATGCATAAAAAATAATTGATAAAGCTTCTGAAAAACTATAAATGATCGTTCAGTTTAAGGTGATTTTTAATCATTCGAAAAGTTGCCGGAGAAGTGGATGGACAAATTTAAATTAAATCGATAGTGGTAAAAAAATTTATAATGAGCAGTAATGCAATGTATTGCCCGTCTAATACAGCGACGGGAGCGGCGGGACAATTATTTACAATGTTATTACAAAGTGTAATGGCATCTCCTTGCAATCTTACTAGTAAATGGCCTGAAGATTGGGGAGAACATTTAAATACAGGTGAAAAAAATATATAAAATAATCAAATAATACATAAAAATATTAAGAAAACTTGCAAATATTATACTTAGTACTCCATATTTAATTTTGAACTTGTCTTGAAGAAATATTAATCGAATAGCAAACTGTCTAAAAATAATGTAGTATAATATGAAATTTTATTGAAATGATTTTTATGTATATTCCAACTATTATATTAAAAATTGTATCAAAATATAATTTAAAATTGCATCCAATTTTATGACTAATGTGAAAAAAGTTCATAGCGAACATTGACATTATTTATTATTCCATAAAATTTTATCTGCACGTTAAAGTTTTTAATATGATTTTATAGGTTATTGCATGTCATATTTTGTAAAAAAAAAAGAATTTTATTTGCGATGTAATTTAAATATTTTTTTTAGACTTTCCAGTGTACGATTTTATAGTGGTGGGTAGGTTCTGCAGGATCAGTTTTGGCCCATCGTCTTGCAGAAAATAAAAAATGGCAAATTTTACTAATTGAAGCTGGTGGAAATCCTCCTATCACTTTTGAGGCAAGAATACTTTCAATAAACAATAATTGATAATAAATTATTTAATAATTAAACTCGTTATTCGACACTATATTATAAATGACTTCTTAAAGATTTTTCAGTTTCTAACTGAAGGCATAAATTCGATGAATAATTACTTCACGAAATTAAAAGCAGAAGCAATGAGATTATTTATTTGGTTCAGCTGTTAATTGTTTGACTTAAGTATAATATTATCTGAATATATAATTATCAGCATATGAATAAACAAATGTAGTCCATATTTTTACATCATCAGGTTAAGGTGCTAGATTAGTTATTTTTATATTTATTTAAATTTCATATTTTATAGATCCCTTCAATGTTCTTCTCTACCCAAAAGACCGATATGGATTGGGGGTATTACACAGAACCCAGCGATCGATATTGTTTAGGGTTCCGTAACCAAAGTTGTTACTGGCCAAGAGGCAAAACTCTCGGTGGAACTTCCGCCATGAATGCAATGGTTTACATTCGAGGAAACAGAAAAGACTACCATGCTTGGTCATCAGCAGGCAATGAAGGTTGGAGCTATGACGAAGTTATTCCATTCTTCAAGAAATCAGAAGACATGCGTGCTCCTCAAGTTTTGGATCAAGACTATGGACAATTTCACAATACCTTTGGTGATTTAAAAGTTGATAACTATTATGATCCTGATACAAAACTGAAACATTCTTTATTAAGGGCTGGAGGTGAAATGGGTTTACCCTTAGTTGATGATATCAATTCAGATACAAAGGTAGGAATAACGATACTTCAAGGAACCATAGATCACGGCACAAGGTGCAGCTCGGCAAAAGCATTTTTAACTCATGAACAAAAAAATTTGCACGTTGTTAAGCATGCTTTAGCAACAAATATTGTGATTAATCAACAAAGCAATTGGGCCATAGGTGTAAAATTCAAACGCAAAGGTAAAAGTTATACAGCTTGGAGTACTAAAGAAGTAATATCAAGTGCTGGAAGCATCAATACCCCACAATTGCTTATGTTAAGTGGAATTGGGCCAAAAGACCATTTACGTGAATTGGGTATACCACTTGTAGCAGATTTGCCAGTTGGAGAAAATTTACAAGACCATCTATTTCTTCCAGTTTGGGTCTTGCTTAAAAAATCAAATCAAAGTATTTCAAAAAAACAAGAAATTAATGCTATTTATGATTACTTCATGAATCATGACGGTCCTTTATCTGGTGTCGATATAACAAATGTGGGAGGTTTTTTCAATACCGACGAGCCTTACTCATTTTACCCAAACACGCAGCTGCATTTTGTTCTCACTCCAAACAATGATGACAGCGGATTGCCGTTAATAATAGATTGTTTTGGTTATGTTGATGAAATAGGACAAACTTTAATGAAAGCTAATAAACAAGGTGATACTCTCCTAACGATGTTAAGCATTCTGAATCCAAAATCGAAAGGTTATATAAAGTTACAAAGTAAGGATTCCAATCAACATCCTAAAATTTATCCAAACTACTTGTACGATCCTGATGATATGCATGTAGCCCTCAATGCGGTCAAATTTATGGAGAATTTTGTTAAAACAGAAGCTATGCGAGAGTTAGGTGCTGAAATTATAGATTTGAACATACCAAACTGTACCAATTTACCAACATTTAGTCAGGAATATTGGAGATGTTTCATTCACAACACGGCAACTACTGAATATCATCCATCCTGCACTGCTAAAATGGGCCCTGTCGAGGATAAATCCTCGGTAGTCGATTCAAGATTGAGGGTTCATAAAGTTAAAGGATTACGTGTCGTAGATGCTAGCATAATGCCGAATATTGTCAGTGGTAATTTAAATGCTCCTACTATTATGATAGGAGAAAAGGCAGCTGCTATGATCAAGGAAGATTGGCAGGCAAATTAACCACAGGCTTACGCGAATCATACAAATTACATTATATAATGTAATTATATCATAAATGTAATGTATTATAAAACTATCCACTTACCTAGTAACGTGTAGGCCAGCAATAAAGCACAAATGCCAAAATTAGTCAGCAATCCTCCCCAAAGGGCGCTGTTCTTCACGCGACCCAAACACTTGGTGCAGGAGCTCTGGTCTCCTCGGCTGTCGGCGCTGTCCAGGCCGCAGCTTGGATTTTGTTTGATGCCACCCATATTGCCCTTCTTTGTGAATTCTGCATACGGTTTGTAACGATATTTTCCACTATCTTTTTCCATGTCACAAATCCATAGTAATTGATATCCTTCAGCGACGTATAGTTAATTGAGAATAGAATCTGAAATAAATTAAATAAATGAAATTAGTATTAATTGATAATTGTAAAAATACTGAGGGTTTGTTATATTTAAATTTATACACATCATGACAAAGTTTAAACCAATTAATAATATTAATTGTATATTTAATGATAGTTAAAAATAAGTTAAAAATAAGATAATAAGTTAAAGATAATAATAATTTAAAAAAAATATTTGAATAAGCTAAACACATTAATTCACATGTAATGATAGTAATAGTTCAAGCACTAGAATTAAGACACAATATTATGATGTTTAATATACTATTTAATTAAGCTAGTAAAAAAAATATTGCAATATAAATGAATTTATTATATAAAGTGCTGACACATAATTTAGGAAATTAATTTACTAAATTTTATTAGTTGTAAATTTATTTACTAACGATAAATATTTATGATTTTGTTACATCTATATAATTATTCATCCTAAATCTTTCAACAGGATTAGTGAATAGATTTGCTAAACAATTATCAATTATGTTAACTTCGTTCGTTTCTAATCACTAGTTTATTGTCTTTAATTACACTCTCTATAATATTCATCTCTATCTCTCACAATAAATAATCTACTCCCACAATATATTATTCTTTTGTTATTCTATCCATATGTCACGCTATTTACTTCAACATTCGGACATATAAAGATGAATATTGTAGAGAGTGCAATTAGAGACAATAAACGAGTGATTAGAGACGAACAAAGTTAACAATTATGATTCAGAAATATTTTTTACGTTTTGGGGTATGGGATTTCGCTTTCTTCAGGAACTTTGAAATTTGAAACTATTTTTTTTTTAAATTAAGCACTCACTAAAATTCAACATTTTAAATTGGAGTTAGATTTTTTTATATATTTTGAATTTTGAACAATTTTAGAAAATAATTTTCAGCCCTCTTAAATTCATCTGTAACTCTTCTCATCTATTCAACAGAATGGCTATAAAATATGTGTTTTGTGATAAATTTTATTTATATAAATTATAATCAACAACAATAAAATAACAGTAAGTTTAAAAATAAATCAATGTCAAAAAATAAAATGCAAGTTCTATTTTAGTTATTTACATATAAAAAGCAAATTAATAAAAACACGAGACACATAAATACTGTTATGACAACAAATTATAGATAAAGTACAGATGCTTAAATTCACAATCGCACATTATCCTTCAAATGCAAGTGTATATAAATAACATATCACAGTTATTATAATTAAATATATATTTTAATAAATTGACTTATGTATAAGATGTTTTAATGCGCCCTCACCTATCTCAAGCTTACATCCACAGAAATTTGGTAGCACCACTAAAACTCGAAACAAGCGCAGTCTTTTTCACTTATGTAAAAAACATTGAATCATACAGGTAAACAGCCACAATTATAGGTACCATCCAATTTTTATTCTAGTGTATTACAATGAAATTTTCATAAGAAAATGGCACAGAAACATCCGAATCACATTTGCGGCCAGAAGTCAATATATTGTTTGCTCATGCGCCGGAAAAAGGCGCAGGCGTGCGGCGAACGCGCCGGAAAATATCATCCCCGAATAAGTTATTCACACATTTTACATGAATTATTCTATCCCCCAAGTACGAACCTATTTGCGTACACATTTGTTATGTTTCAAAGATGGAATTTTAATTTATGTGGAACGCATTGCGAGATCTTATAGGATCAGATTACAGATACATGGGGACGAATGATAATGGGAAAAATAGAGATTTAATAGACAAAACTGCATAACACTTTTGCATTGATGATAAAAAGATAATCACAGTATTGTACATACATATCTAATAAGTGTATTATAGACCAGAATTAATTATTTAATAATTAATAATAAAAATAACTCAAACCTCGTACTTTATTAATAGAGTAGATCGTAGAATATAATAGAATATAGAATAGAGTAGATAGTAGAGAATATAGTAGATAGAAGTTTATGTTGCTACAAAAAAACACATTTTTTAAATTTGTGTGCACCTTCATATGTGTATATCGTCCAAAATTTCGCTTTTTGTTAACATTTTATCGAAAATAGCTCGAATTGCTATTTTTATGTTTTATCAAGGTTTCAAGTCATTATAGATGACTTGATATCAAATTTGGCAAAAGTAAATGGGTAAGATCGTACTTGAGCCTAAATTTGACGTTTCGTCCCCAAAAACGACTGCATCGATTTCAGAAATTTAAAAGCCATTTGACAAAACTCAATATGACCTCGTGTTTATTATTTCACGACGATTATCTTTCTTAACAGACAAGTGCAACATATCTGTCTACATTTTGGGCAAAATCCTAAAAGATTTTAAAAACTCCGAAACTGTTCTAAAGGTCTCTAAGAAAAAAGTCTGTCGTAGAAGTACGTATTCCAAGAAAACCTATTTCTCGATTTTGGTATTAGTTGAGCGTATCAATGAAATGTTTAGGAATTTGTTGTTTTTAAACTAGTATTGTAAAAATGTTATATATGTGTCATTTAATTGACAAGTTTAGAATCGTGCTGATCAATTTTTGCTAAAAATCGGCTGTGTCGTCTAATTGATTTGTTCAACAATTTTGAAGAAACTTTGTATGATTATAAAATTCATGGTCTTACAGAACATCCTAAAATATTATGAACCTAAAAAAATGTCAATGTTCGGAAAATGGGTCTAAATTGCTAAACCTCAATTCCTATTGATTGCAACTTCTTTTAGTTTGGGCAAAATAGTACAGCAAGATAAAAATTATATAATAACATAATTTATAATATGCTATTTATGTATATAATTTATATATAATTCAATAGTGGTAAATTTTGCAGTGTTCAAACTGCTTACGTCTAGGTAATTTTATTTAAAGTATGTGTTTAATTACATAATTTATAATGTTATTTTTAACTTCCCGTAGGGTGATTTCTCTAAACCAGCCACGCAGCATAATCGCTTTGAAAAAAAGATTTTCAGAAAAAATCGAACTACAAAAAAAAAATTCAAAGTTTTCAAAAAAGTTAACTTCAAAAATTTCAAAGTTTACCCAAACATTTTTTTCAGTAATCATTCATTTTCAAAGATTTAAAAAAAAAATGCCATGATATACGCTTGAACTTGATATGCGACTAAAAAATTAAATTTTATTCTATCATGGGTATTACAGTGTTCATTCAAAAGTGGTGTTCTCTATGAAAATGTATGGTTTTCGTATTTCATTTAGTCTATCCAAAACAAAATGAATAGCAAATGACGAAAAATGGGCAAATTGTAAAAATGATTGATCGGTTTGTTTGACCCGAATCGCAATTATTTCCAATTACACGCGGCGATGGTTTCGCGGAATGCTTTTTGCGCGCCCCCCATTTGGCGGGTGAGATTAATGTAATTTCTACCACATACTTCATTTAATTTTATCTCGATGGCGTTTCCAATAATGTATGAGGTTTTTGTTATAATTCAATTCACGAGCTTTCTATTTAAATGGAATTCAAAACACTGGCTATATTTAAAGTATTTTTTAAAATATATTCTGTTTAATAAATTTATTTAACAAATTAAACTTTACCTTTCTTACATTAAGAATTGAACTTGGGATTGAGGGTGTTTGAGAAATCATAACTTGTATATTCATAGATACTGCAAAAAGCAAGTATCTTAAAAAATTTGTTAATTAATTTGTAATATATTTTATTTTTTAATTCTCTAATACTTAAAAGAAGAATTATTTGATCGAAAATTTTGATGATTTCACATGTGCATAAATAAATTTATCTTCAAATTAATAATATTAGTGATATGCATAGTTATCAATTAAAGGCTTTTTATTTACTTTTCAAAACCATTAACAATTTGTTTCAGATAGAGCTGAATTTATCATTAATTATATATAAAGTAGATATCAATAACATTTCCGTTTGTCGCCAATTTTTATTATAATATTCTTTTAGATATTTTTTTGAAGGACGCATTCATTTAAAAGCTATAACCATTATTTTAAAAAACTTATTTTGTCATGATGTACATAGCAATATCAATACCTATTTCAACGATGAAGTGGGTCAATTAGACCTGCAGGTCACATCCCAAAATAAAGGTTAAATGATCTATGAATGAATTATGAAGTATATTATTGATATGTAAAATTGTAGCCAAATCAAGGACAATAGTGGTAAAATATAAAAAAATCCCTTACATCATTAAATAGCATAAATTATAAAATTTTCAATCTGGCCTTTATATTAATAATTTTATTAAATTAACTACGATTTGATTTAATTAACTATTTTTTCAGATTCAATTACCATGGCATTGAATGTAATATCGCATGCACCTATGTACTATCTATTATATTTTATCGCCCAGAAAACTGATAACATTTGTTTTAAAAGGTAAAATCTTCAATTTATGCCAAAATACACAAATTCGTAATATTGATTGATAAAAAGCCTTATCAGCTTAACTTTAGCAGATAAGCAAGATAGGAATTGCAAGTAATGGCATTCCTATAATTTATATTAACCGGCTTATTAGTAATATTTGTGCTTTCGTTTAATATCAATGAATCTAATAATTAAGTTATGTGGGTAATATGAATTAATTAGAGTTTAAATTTTTAAAGGCTATTTATTCGCGGAAAATGGTGAGTAGGAACTTAAACTTTTATAAAGCTTTTATGAAAAATACACTGTTGAAGTAGGCTTTGTAATGCATTTTATAATGTTTTGAAAATTTTATAAATGAAATATTATTTGAAGTGTTAATATAGACCTGTTGATACTTAATTTTAATACAAATTTATCATTCTTATTATTTTATTGTTCTTTCTCCAAAATTTATAGAGTCAAACTACGCACAAACTAATTCTTATATATTTTCTAGAACATATTTATTTTTTAATTCTTCTATATTTCATTATAATTTCTTTTTGTGATAATTTATAATTTTTTCCATTTCTGAATTAGGTGATCTATAAGCTGTTGTAAACAAAGTTTATTTCTGGTTTTCATTTAAATAGAGCTTTTATTTCTAGTCAAAAATTGTCCATACTGAGATATAAAATTATTTCATATTAAACGTTATTAGAAACTAGAAGTGATAACCCAATGATAGTAATTTAATTAAATGACACCTATATAACATTTTTACAATAGTAGTTTAAAAACAATTTAAAATCCTGAGTAAATTCCAAATTTGATCATTAGTGATAATCCGGTATAGTATTTTTTATTAAATTATATGAGGTTAAAAGTTTAATTTGTAATATAAAAGATAAAAAACATTAATCGTAATTTTATCAAGATAATCTTAACTTGTTAAATTGAAGTGCTATTTATAACAATTCACTTGAAATTATAGATCTAAATATAATTTCAAGTGATTTTGAAACATGGCAATAAATTAGAAATATGATCATAATTGCTATAATAATAAGAAATATTATTCTATATCATCGCAGTTGTAGCACTAATTAAAACAATAATTTTATCTAATCCAACACGACCATATGAATTATATATGAAGATTATATATAATATGGCTGAAAAATGTAAGTAATAATAATATTTTACATTATTTTATCAAAATGTAAAATATTATTAACAAAATACAGACAAGATTGTTAGTAAAGTGTAAATACTAAAGAAATGGTATAAAATATTTAGAAATTGGATTTAAAATATTTATGAACTATCATAGTGAGCAATAGATGAAGAATTTTGCTAAAGGGCTTAATATTATTCAAAGTCTAAAAAACTTTAATAAACTCCAGAAATAGCTTTGTTTTTAGAATGTTTGGAAATGCAGTCACTTGTACCCAAAAAAAATTTGTAAATCATATTTTATTCTTTAAATGTATCGGACAGTTATCTTTTTTATCTCAAATAATAATGTACACGAAACCAGTTACTACGAATTGTAAATATTTTGTGCTTTTGTAAATAATAAAGAATAGATTGTTACATATTATTTATTTAGTTTTAATAAATCCTTTCCAATCCAAGGAACTTTCAAAAATTCCTAAAAATTTCATTGATACGCTCAACTAATACCAAAATCGAGAAAGAAAGTTTTCTTGAAATACGTACTTCCACAACCGATTTTTATCTTAATATTTTTTCCTCAAATTTGTATTATATTTGAAAGATTTGGAAACAGTCATAATAACAAATGATTTCCATGTGAGTCCTATTATTCATTCAGACTAAACGATGCTGTATTCAATAAAGACAATAATTATTTCTCTAATAAGAAATGTGACTTAAACGCGGATTTTGCGAAGAATATTTTTATTTAAAATGCCTGTCACGTAAAACGAATGAAATAATAAAATAAAAAACATATGACAGTGTAAAATGATGATTTCAGCGGCAAATCCAATTAGTGGCCCCGCACTAATTTGTTATATTAAAATAACGTGTTCATTGTCGAACACTATTCCATTTATAATGGCAGGTGGCCAGTAAATTGTAAAAATCTGGTAAATGATTGAAAATACGGATGAACCTGTTTATGTTTTAAATCGAAGGCCCAAAAATCATTTGGGAAATTTGCACCATAAATCTACGTAATTGCACCACATATCTACGTAATTGCAACGTAATTTGCACCACATATCTATTACTACTACAAAGAGCATCAAGAACAAGAATGTAACTTTTTCTCCAACTACAGTTTCCTTTGAAGTAGCTCAAAGTCTCAAAAGATGTTGAAAATTCATCGTATAGTGTTCCATTAGGAAAATTATTACCAAGTTGACTTAATACGAGATGCAATGACGTATTTCTCATAGCAAGTTCACAATTTGTAAGAGATCATACGCAGATTGAAATATGTTCCTGACCTTGTCCTAATGATTGTGTTAATTATTTGTGAAGTATTTTGTACTAACTGGCAATGCATTACCTGTATATTCTTTGGTGCAATGTTAATTTGCGGTAATTTACCATACGGAAAATAATAAACTTATTAGAAATGGTATGAATGAAAACAAACCAGGCCCGGAAATGGTAACATATAGTAAGTCATAATGCTAGGGTGGAAATATTAATATTAACTAAACTAAAAAATGACACTTAATAGTTGCACTTAATCTTTATATAAATATTAATTTTTAAATATTCATCTTAATTATAAATATGTTAGTTCCAATTCTTTCACTAATCATAATTTACCTATTTAGTTACAAACTGTCTATTTTGTGTGATCAATAAAAAGCTCTAACAATATTTTTAGCGCATGGAAAATACGTTAATTTATATTAATTAAGTTTGCTAGTTAATTATTTTGCAAATTAATCTTAATCTGCTGAACAATAGCTGTAAAGAAATATATATAGTTGCAAAAGAGATCATTAGCACAGAGAGATGATTTTGCTGAATTGCAAACTGTGATGGAAATATTTAACATGAATCATATTTAGAGAAATTGTTTAACATTCAATATATTAAATTATAATTTTAGTTGTTTAAAAATATTTAAAGTACGATTTTTTTTAATTCAGCTAATTACTTGTAATCGATACTTAAATCAAATATTAGTTTGATCAACAAACCTGTTTATAAATATTTACACAATCCTTGTCAAAACACAATAAAATCTTTATTATAATCATATAAAAATAACTTATCAGTTTCGGCGTTCATGTTAAGATATATTTATATTAACACTTTAAATGCCACGACAATATCAGAAGAACTTCCACATGGACCATAGTAACTTTATTAGATAATTTGGTTGAAATTGTATCCAGGACTTAATGCCAACAAAAAATATGCGGAAAATCCTGGAAAAACTCTATTTTTTATGTCACACATATATGACCGATATTTTTAATGTTAAACATCGTTCACATAGAGCTTCTTCGCGTCAGACACATACGACTGACATAGCGCTTAACGTGTTAAAAAATATATCAACAAAAAGTGCAATCGAATTATTAATCGAATCAAATATTATTATTATTGTCATAAATCAGAAATTGAAGTTGTAAATTGTGTATATAAAAACTACAGAAAATAATAGAGTACTTTTATTTCTATCTATAAAAATCTAAATTAACTTTCCGTAAAATTTAATTATTAAAACAAAATAAAATTTTAAATTGAGGTATTGATAAAATCACCAATAATCGTAAAGCCAGAAATATCAGTTATTTAACGTTATCCAAGAATTGAACTTTTATCTAGCAAAATATTATTAGGATTGCCACTATTGTTGAATAAAATAAATAAATTATTCCATACAACCTGATATCAAGCAGTAATGATATTTATTTGAAAATATATATAGACCCATTTATATTCCAATATCAATTTTAACGTTATCCAATAATTAAAGTTTTATTTAAATTCTAGATAATTATTTGTACCATTGTCGCTATTGTTGAATAAAATAAATAAATTCTATAAAACCTGATATCGAGCAGTTGTGATAACCATTTGAAAATAAAGACTTGCAAATATTCCCATATCAAACATATCAGGTTTAACATTATCCAATAATTGAAGTTTCATTTAAATTCTAGTAAAATATTTGTACGATTAAATTATTCCATACAACCTGATATCAAACGGTAGTGATATCCATTTGAAAATGTAATGATAATAATAATAAATGGTAGTCTGCCCGAAGGCAGGTCCATGGTGTGAGAGCCATCATAAATCAATGATATCCTTTCTCTTTCTCGTCTATCATTTACATTACCACTACTTCCCATTTTTTATAATATTTGCCTTTCCAAACATCTGCTCCCATGCCTCCTGGTGGTGTGCTTCGGCTTTCAGTTCCCTGTATTTTTTCTTCTGGCCTAAGTCGTCAATCATCTGCATTCTTCTTCTTCCCATTCCTTTCAGTCCTTCTATTTTACCTTCGACTACGTCATGCAGAAAATCTCTTTTTGCAGAACGGGTCCGATCCAGTTTCCTTTTCTATTCAGGATCGTGCACAGTAGAGTCATTTCTTCGACAATTCTTGTCAGGACTTCTTCATTTGTTATCTTGTCTGTCGACTTTATCTTCTCCATTCACCACCAACACCAAATTACAAAACTCCCCAATTTGAAAATATAGACCCACATAAATCTCAATACGATAATTCATGGAGAATTTATGGAGAAAACAAATTTTTCCTTTACGATGTTAAAAATTAAAAAAATAATGGAATTTTAAACTACTCTCTAATTCTGCAAATGAGTACTTCACAGAAGAATGTGTATAAAAATCACATGTAAATTAAAGGTTTTTTTGTTCCTAAACCATAAAGATTTAAGTTCTCATAAAACTGGATTTTATTCGTGTGAGTAATCGTGCAAAATAAAGATGAGGAATTTGAAGGAAACTTTAAATAGATATATCCGAAATGTTAATTTCATTAAAACAAAGATAGTTCAGTAATTAGTACGTAAGCGGTTCTGTTTTATATAGCAACAGTCCGAAAATTGCAAAACATATTCCAATAGTGATTGTTATCGAATTAACGGCGCGCTGGTGTTCCATATATAAATATAAATATATACATATTTAAATATACATATACATACATATATATGTATATATACATATGTGTAAATATAATAATAGTTACATATGTGATTTTTTTCTCTCAGTCGATTATGAATACCGAAGGAGTCGAATATGACTTAGAAACAGTTTGCTCATGAATGGCGAACGATTCGAATCAGACAATCTTATTCTCAGGAATTAAATTTAAAAAAATTCTAAATTAGAGTAGAATAAATAACTTACATAAAGATTAGTGGATATGAAATTTAAAAATGTGATTTTTGCATTAGTGTTAAAAAAAGTGTTAAAATTATAAAAATCAAGTATTGCAAAAAACACTATTGTTAACACTTCTGCATATGATCTTTAAGGGCTGTGTTATTATTTTATAAATAAAATAAATAAAGTGACTATTGTTAAATATAAATAATATATATATAATACATTTTTAATAATTAATATAAATTAATATAAAGTTTTATGAATGCTCATGAAGAATATTCCAATTAAATGTATATTAAAATTTTGTATAAAATGTACGAGATAATTATAGATATATAAATGCAACAGTTGTAAATATATATGAGTGAGATAATAATATTAATGATATTAAATATAAATTATTTTTTATAAAGACTGAAAATGTTTGTATACTTTTAAGTCAATTTTTTCCATCAAATGCTTTGGTATCAAAAGAACTAAAAATATATAAAACGAAGTATTCGATTATGCAAAGTAAATCAATAGTCGACAAGAATGTGTAAATATATAAATAGATTTTTTATGATTATGATTTAAAGTAACAAATTCTGTTAAAATATGTGAACTGAAATTTCTATGAGATTGCTCAAGATCATAAATTAGTTTCTTGAACTAATATTTGTATACGATTATATACATAACATCAATTCTAACGGTTACAGGATTATATATAAATCTAATAAAATAAAATTATTAAAAATTTTTTTTTCAAGTTCAAACAAAACACTTAAAAAAATATATAAAATGTTAGTACTGTTGCAAAGTGAATAAAAATAAAATAACCCAACTAAACATTTGCATTAAAGCTCTGTCGTGTGATTAAAAATTCATTGTATTAATTCATTAGTAAAGTGGCATTTAAAATAAACATTAATTTAACTTTATTGATTCTAAATAATGTAGTTTTATAACAAAGTGTGCAAGATACAAAACTAATAAGATGTATCAGACTTTATATAATAATGCCTCAAATTATAAGACGGATTTCTCGGCGATGGTCGTTTAAGGTAAATTAATAAAAATAATATATATAAATCATAATTATGGATCATAAAACAAAAAGCCCTATTTAACTTCCCATAGTCATAGTTAAATTCTTAGTAATCGCAAAAAATATTTCAAAATAAAGAAAACATTTTTTTTCAAAAAGTCTTTTTTTCCAAAAAAGTCCATTTTTTTTAAATTTAAAATTCCTCAGAGAACTAATTTTTTCAAAGTTTTAAAAAGAATTTTAATCTTTTAATTTTCGATACGGGAAGTTCCAGCAATTTGCCTTAAGGCCATGTATCCCTAGTTAAGATTTTGTTTGCTCATATTTTGATGATCAATATGCATCTTAAATTTTTCTATTTTATTTAGATACTGTAACGTTTTTTGTTTAAATATTTGTTATACGTTTTTATATAATCCAATTCTAAATTAAGCAAATTTTTAATGAGTTTCCTAACTCGAACAAAATTTGCAGTTATTTAGAACTCATTAGTAAGCTATTATTTGAATAAATATATGAAAATTGAGTCTGTCGCCGGTTGTTATATCACTTAACTTTAATATCTCATTTAAATGAAAATAAAAATTTAAATATTTTGGAAAAAATTGTAAAACTTTTCCCAAAAAGAAAAATGCAATATCCAAACATTGTTAGACTTTTAAAATCTGTTTCACTTAGCAATTATGGTGATAATTCACACATTAAAAATAATTCTAATTATTTTAGGTTATCCCCAAGGTTGTAGTCATTGTCATTGAATAAAATAATAACTTTAATATTTGTTAATAAAGATTACATGATAAATCATCTGTTATATTTTTTCGTATAGAATTATAAATCACCATGGTCCACAATCCACATACATGCATTCAAAAATTTCATATAATACTTTAATCTGGCAAAGTACTTGCAGATGGTGCATTATAAAAAACAGATTCATATATTTCATCATAACACTATATAAAATATGTTTTGTGATGTAAATAATACGAAAATAAACTGACTGAAAGTACTTAAAACAAGGATCTTCTTAAAAAAAACTGTTTTTAGAAAGAAAATCATCGTTTTGTCCAGTAAAACAATTATTATAAGCTCCAAGCTCTTGATTCAAAATTTAACTAATAATTTTGATAAAAAATAATTTTATTGAGCCATTGAAAATAAACTAACGAATTTGGTTAAATAAATTATTAATTTAAATGCGTTTACTTAAATTAATAATTTAATTTACTAAAATCGTTTTCAAAAAGAAAATCTTAATTTTCTTCATGTAAGATAATACAAAATATGTAGATATAAAATTACATATTTATTTAATCCAAATACCCAAAACCTTTATTTAATTTAATTCTAATTTACTATTTTTTAAACATTATGTAATATATATTGAGCTGATAAATTTGATAAATAATAATTTTATTGAACCAATAAATTTCTGAAAATAAACTTGCTAAAGTACTTGAAGGCCCAGGATTAAAAAACAATCAACAGTTTTTCATTTAAGATATTAAAAATAAACTATTAAAATACATATTATTTTAGTTTTACATTTTTTAACAAATTTTGATAAATAATAATTTTATTAAACTTATTGATGACTAAAAATTAATGAATAATAATATTATTTCATGTAATATTACAAATAATATTAATTTTCGTTAAAAGTTACAATAATATTAAAATATTTGAACTATGTTCGGCAACAGCTTTCAAAAATAACGATTAATATTAGTTTAGTAATTATTTATTAGTTGTTAATTTTTTTTATATTTATTATATTATTATAGAGAATTTTATTTTGACTTGCTGAATGTAAATAAAATTAATTAATAAATAAAATAACAAAAACTTTACCAAATTATTGATAAAGAATATAAGAACACAATTGTATCGAAAGAAAGTTTTGATACAATTGTTTATAAATTTTTGTTAATGGCAGATAAAAACACAATTGCATAAACAGATAGTTTTGTTTATATAAATGTTTATCATTTTTGTTAATTAATGAAATGAATGTTTTTCATTATTTATTAAAGATTAAAATAGAATGCATAAACACAATTGTATCGAAGAATAGTTTTGATATAAATGATTTTTAATTTTTCTGGGAATGTTCACAACTTTTATATTGTTGAACCACATTTATTATATCAGAATGAATACATGTTATAAAACTGAACTATGAATGCAGTCATGAATTTTTTATTTAGAAATTAGCTTGCGATTAAAAGCTTTACCCGGTTCAGAAAGCAGAACTTTTATTCATACTAGAGAATAAAAATAATATTATCATAGAGTTTTAAGTTCAAATATTTCAACATGAAAATATTTATTGTCTCAATGAAGATATTGTAATAAATATATCGATGATTGTGACACTGATATCTATTTACAATGACATTGATCTATTGACTCTTACGAATTAAATTGAAAATCATAAACCACATCATGGCAACAAAATAGGTTGCTTGAAAAGAATATTAAGTAATGGCTTATATACATTTTCAAAATACAATAATCAGGCAGTCTAAATAATTCTGTTATTCCACACAAAAAAATTAAGTATTCTTCAATATATTTTTTTTTCAGGGAAATCGAATATCAAATGTAGGAGACACCCGGATAATTATCGTAGGCGGTGCGCCCGAAAATGGACCGCCGGAAAAAAAGAAAAAACCTAAGAAAAGTCAAGAAAATAAAATAAAAACAGCCAAATATAGTCTCATAAACTTTTTACCAAAGAATTTATACGAGCAATTTCGTAGAATTGCAAACGCTTATTTTTTAATTATATCTGCTATAGCTCTATTTATCGGTGAGTAGAAACAATCTTATAATGGATTCAAAATCAACTCATTAATAATTAATTACTTAATAAATAATTTCGTTTGTATTATATTTATATCATATGATGCAAGTAACATAAATATTATTACTTTTCAAACAATATTGAGATATGTTATTAAGGGGCACAACTAGTGTGAAATTTTCAAAAAATCGAATTTTCAATTTTTCCATATTTCGATAGGTTATACCTTTAAAAATAACATACTAAAATTTTAAATAGATATCTTAAATAGTTCTTAACAGCCATTTAAAGAGTATATATATAGTATGTAGTATAACGATCATTTTATCTTTAAACGCGTTTTTCTCGAAACAGCATTTTCCGAATTTGCTGCAGCGATTACTCAAAAACAAATGATTCGATCACTATCCATTTTTTTACATGTTCTATATATAGTTCCCCGTAAAATAAACTATTGATTTTTTGATCGGATCAAAAATCGAATTTTGGCAGTACAAAAACAACCAAAATTTTGGGTAAAATTCGACTTTTTTTAAAAAAACGCCTTCATTTCGTCAATTTTTTATTTTTTTTCTTTATCGTAATTCATTTTACAGACAATATTATCTAGTTTAACAAGATTTTTATTTTTTTAAATTTCATCCACGTAGAAGGCCGGAATCACTGCAGCAGTGAAGGGCCTTTTTTTTGTCGCGCCGTTGGAGATCGATGATAACTTAAAAAATATTTAATTTTTTCCTTCAAAACTTTCACTATGTATTCTTAGAACATGTATAAATATATTCCTAAACTTTTGAAATGATTGATAAAGTAGGTTTTTTAATATAAATTCTCAAAAATCACCTTTCTTTTAGGCGGTTACACTAGTTGTGCCCCTTAAAAGTCTCTATGCAAATTTTTGTATATCAAGCAATAGTAATATTTGTTTTAACGTAAAATCATATAATCATACCTATAGATTTACAATATGTTGCTAAGAAAAATAACCCTGCACAATTTTGCCAAAATAAAAATCATCAGTATCACAAAAATAGTCATAATAAAGAGATCAAATATAGATAGATCAACAGTTGGGTTGCTTTCTGAATAAGCCACGTGGGGCTAAGAAGTATAATCGCAACATAGGACATAAAAAAAATTAAATTTAACAAAAATAATTATTTCAGACAGTCCAGTTTCACCTGTCACTAGTCTTATGCCCCTGGTGTTTGTTGTGGCAGTCACTGGAGCAAAACAAGGATATGAAGACTGGCTGAGGCACAAGGCTGATAATGCGGTTAATAAAGCCCCAGGTAACAATTTTCTTAAACAAAATCTTTATAAATTTGATAAGTTAATGTAATCCACTATACGAAGTGTGTTTTTCAATATTGTTGCTAATATATTTCCTTTAGTAAATGTGATCCGTAACGGAGTGGAATGCGACATTTGCTGTGAAGAGATTCGAATAGGGGATCTTGTAAAGGTGCCCCGAGAGTGCGAAATACCTTGCGACATGTTGCTCTTATCTTCGAGCGACCGAGACAGGTGTCACGTCACAACCGCAAACCTCGACGGAGAGACCAACCTCAAGAGGCTCACCGTGCCCAAGTCCCTGATTTCTATCAACGTAGGTATGACTAATAAAACTAGCTGTAAGTGGAATTCTGTCTTAAGGCAATTAAGGCATCGTGCCTTAAGGGGGTATTCTACTATAGAATTTTGAAAAAATCGAAAAAATTTTTTTTTCATATTTTCAAAGTTTAGTTATTCAAAAATATGTCATTAAAAGGATTTTTCAAAATTACTTATATTTCCTGAGTCATATCCGATTTAGTGACGTGGCCTCGGTTCGGGTCCGACCGAGTCTCAAAACTTTGAACGCGTTTTTCTCGGAATTACTTTTTCCGAGCTGGCGGTAAGGATATCTCGAGTTCTAATTAACAGATTTACTTCAAATTTGGAGAGGATCTTCTCTATACATCGCTTTATCGTATGGACCTTTCCCAAAACTATAACTTTTCATTTAGTATTTTTAAAAAATTCGGAATTGTTAAAAAAAACATGAAAAAAAAATTATTTTTTTCAAACAGCCGCCATTCAAACAAAAATTTATTTTTTAACTTATCCAAGGTTCATACGTTAGCGGCATCTATAATAATTAAGAATCCATCTATTTTTTATGTTTCGGATCACTAGGAGGGTTGGAATCATGCACGCCAGGACACCCTCTTTTTTTTTGAGCCCCCACTTTGACTGCTCATAACTTTGTGAATTCTAATTTTTTTTCTTTAATATTTTTTTATGTAATAATAAAATATCAATGAACAAATAATAAAAAAATCGATAGTGAAAATATTATTTGTTTCCTTTATACAGCGCTTCAAAAACCGGGCAAAATTCATGCTTCTACAGTAGAATACCCCCTTAAGGCAAATTGCTGGAACTTCCCGTACCAAAAATTATTATTTGTTTAAAAACAATTAACATTTTTGAAAAAAAATTACTCTGAAAAATTAGATTATTGAGAAACTATAAATTTTTGACACAAATTACCTTTTTTTTTGAAAAAAAGACTTTTTGAAGAAAAAGGTATTTTAAAATATGTTGGAAATTCTGAACTTTTTTTCAAAGCAATCGATTAACTGCATAGAGACGAAATATCGATGCGCATAAGCGCCGCGCCGCCGTCTAACGGATAAGCATTGGTACGGAACCCATAGGAATGTAAACAAAATTTATACTTATTGTTAAAATCTCTATAAAATATCTGATAATTAGATGTGCATTTGTCTAATGATCATTTTTGAACGCCAAATGGTATTTTTTTTTACTTTTTTTTATTAGGTTTCCGAAACCGCTAGACCTGCCTTTATGAAAATTTGATCAATTCTTCATTTTGTCAATACAAGTAAAATGTTTTTTGAATTATTCAAATCGGACGCTCCGTTCTTTTAAAAACTGAGTTACCGTTTTCGGCACTTTTTGCCCCGTATCTTCGGAACGGCTAGACCTGCCTTCGCCAAAAGCTGATCAGCACGTCTCCTTATCAATACGAATCGAATGTTTTTTGAATTATTCAAATCAGTTGATCGGTGTTCCCGAAATCGTCGACGAAAATTTGTATCCGCACATACATACGCACACGCACATACATACACACACATACACACACACATACACACATATACATACATCCATTTTTTCTAAGGTATGCCAAAATGTTCAGAAGGTTTTGAAACGTAAAGATACATAAAAATTTTCATTTTCGATTTTTTTGCGATTACTATAACTTGCCCTAAGGGAAGTTAAAAATTAAAAAAAAAATCAAAAATGTTACAAATTTTTCGAAAATGAAAATACACGTGATATTTGGTAGGAAAGAAAAAGTAATTTTGAATATCACCACGTATCACCAAAGAGGAGGAGAGGTCCAAAAACCCTTAAAAAGTCGATCACGTGATTAATGGACACCCACAAATTACTATTTCAATAACTTGCTCTAGAAATAAAAATAAAGACAATAAATACAAAAAAAACAAAATTTTTATCATTATCCATTATTATCTATTACAAGTAATGATTTATTTTCCAGAACATCTAGTGGGAAAAGCATTTATCGAATGTCAACACCCACAATCGGATCTCTACAGTTATTATGGAAAACTAGATTTATGCGATGATCTCCGAACAACAATTGAACTTACAGAAAATAATCTTTTATTAAGAGGATCACGATTAAAAAATACAGAATGGGTCATAGGATGCGCAGTTTATACAGGTGAGATAAAGTTCACCAATCGTGATCAGTATTTTTCTTTGACTACTGCTTGATATCATGTAGTCATTATTATAGCAAAGGATAAACGAATATATAATATTGACTTATAAATGGTAAATCTTCTATCATTCTATTATCTTTTTCAGGAAAAGAAACAAAGCTTTCTCTAAATTCAAGAATCACAATAAACAAATTTAGCTCCAGTGAAAAATTTATCAACAAATTTTTAGTTTTCTACGTGGTGATCATGATCTTCGAAGTAGTCGTGTGTTATTTTATGAAAAGATACTACGATTTGTATGGAAAATTTAAATGGGACCAGAGAACTATGCAATCACACGAACATATTTCTGATGTCCTGCAAGATATTTTTTCATTTCTACTTTTGTACAATTATTTAATTCCTATATCGTTGTATGTGACTATAGAAATGCATAAATTAATAGGTAAGTTAAATAATTGTGAAATCCATTCATTATTGATGACCTTGCTCTTGATATTGTTTTAGGTTCATTATATATGGAATGGGATAGCAATCTATACAATTCAAAACTGGAAGAAAATATGCTGGTCAACACATCAGATTTAAATGAAGAACTTGGACAAGTTGAAATACTCTTTTCGGACAAAACAGGCACTTTGACAAAGAACGAAATGCATTTTCAAATGTGTTCCATCACAGGAAAAACTTATAAAGAAGAATTTGGGAAACTTGTTCCTGTTCGATTGGATTGTGATTCGATGGCAAATGATGTTGAAGCATTGACCATGAGTGAATATACGGTAAATAGACAATATATACTTCTACTGATAATCTAATATTTTTCCTTTATCATTTTTGTCTTATTCCCAGGAAGATATGAAAGAATTCTTTCGCACAATCGCGCTTTGCCACACGGTTCAAGTATCAACACAAAAATCAAATGGAAATGTTTTCACGGATTGTGACAATGGAATATCTGAAATGCCAGAATACCAAGCTTCTAGTCCTGATGAAAAAGCCCTTCTAGAAGCATCATATAAATTCGGTTTTCAATTTATAAACGAAGAAGCAGAAGAATTAGAATTGAAAATTTTGAATGAAGATGATGGAACCTATTCGGGATCAGAGGTATAGAGAATACATACATAATTATCCATAATTGATTTAATTTTTAATTTATTTTATTTAGTTGACGGAGTCCTGTCAACTTGATTATGAAACTTATGAAGAATGTTTCAACATTGAAAAATATCAAAGATTGGAAACATTAGAATTTTCATCAGATCGGAAAAGAATGTCAGTGATTGTGCAAGATAAAGATGGACAGGTATATAAAGATATCAACTAAAATAATATTTATAATAATTGATTTTAAACTGTATTCTTTAGATCCACTTGCTTTGTAAAGGAGCAGAATCAGCTATTTTTCCATTATGTACACAAGATATGAATAGTGAAAAAATGGCTTTAACAGAAAAGCATATTCAAGAATTTTCGAAAAGAGGCTTAAGGACTTTAGCTATTGGTGCGAAAACTATCACGATGGAAGAGTATTTGGATATTAAGGAGAGTAGGTACTTCTGATATTTCTACTCTTACACTTTAATATAATGATGTGGTTTAATAACCAATGTACCTCTTCATATATAACCCTACATAATAATATACTAACAGGGAACCTACTTTTCTTCAAATAATAAGGGTTTTACCACATACAATTACTTACAGGATTAAAGTTAGCAAGAGCAGTCATGTCGGGTCGAAGACAAACGATGTTGATAAAATCTTATCGAGAAATCGAAGAAGGATTAAGCCTTTTGGGGGCTACTGCTGTTGAGGACGCCTTGCAGGATGATATTGTGGATACTGTGATATCATTGAGAAGGGCAGGCATTAAGATATGGGTACTTACTGGAGACAAGGTAAAACAAATTTAAAAAATAACAAATGCACTTCTAAAATACTATTATTACATTAGTTTCATACATAAAGTTCAAAGACAATCTGCTAGAAACAAGCATCAAGGAATTGTTTAACCTCTATAATTTATCAAGGTGGAAACGGCTTTGAACATCGCTTATTCCTGTGGACACATTTCTCGAGGAGCAGGTCATCTGCTGTACCTTGTCGATTGTAAAAACGAGGAGGCCTGCAAGGAATTGCTGGATCGGTACTCATCAGAAATGGCCAGGAATCGCGGCGCCGATTACAATTTGGTGGCGGACGGAGCAAGTCTTTCCATCGTATTGAAATCGGCGCCGAACGAATTCAAAGAAATTGCCACGAAATGCTTTTCTGTACTATGCTGCAGATTATCACCGATGCAGAAATGCCAAGTAAGAAAGAGATTGACTAATTAACTAATTTTAATAATAACGCATTTAATTTTTAGTTGGTACAACTTGTAAAATTAAGTAAATCACCACCAATAACATGCGCGATTGGTGACGGAGCCAATGACGTGTCCATGATTCAAGAAGCGCACATCGGCCTAGGAATATTTGGAAAGGAAGGACGGCAAGCAGCACGGTATTATCATAAAGTTTATCTTTCATTTTAATTAACGTAAAAAATTATTATAATTGATTATTTACGTTCAACATTTTTCAGATGCGCTGATTTAGCCTTTTCCGAATTCCGAATGTTGAAACGTGTCCTGCTAGTACATGGACATTGGTATTATCAAAGACTGGCTACTTTAGTACAATATTTTTTTTATAAAAACTTAGTATTTATGAACATTCAGGTAAACATTATTATACATTAAATTGCATGTTTAGATGTTTTGTATTTTAATTTTATTTATTTTTCTTTTGTAGATGTTCTTTCAAATATCATGCATGTTTTCATCACAATCCATTTATGATTCAACATTTTTAACATTATATAATGTGATATACACAGCATTTCCTGTATTAATATTATCGTTAAGTGAGCAAAAAATAAGCGATTCGGAGCTTAGTAAGTAAGTGATAAAGTAAAAATATTTACTATTAATCCTTGAAAACATTTTTTTACAATAACCTTGAAAACCAATAGGTAAATATAAATCAATAGTAATTATTTATTCACTTTTTAGTGATCCAGAACTGTACAGAAAAAATAGGCGACATTTATTACTAAGATGGCCTAGGTTTCTGCAGTGGACTCTACTTGGCACTTGGCATTCCTTAGTCATTTATGTTCCTATGTTTATTTTATGGAATTCAGATGCAGCAATACTACAGGAAGGTCGACCAGGAAATTTATGGTAAAAATTGTCAATATTCACACCATAAACCTATGAATACGTCCACAGTTTTCTTAGTACATGAATCCATAATCCCACCCACCAATCCCACCAATAACTTTTAGGAACTATGAAAAAACTTTCTTCAATTTTTCACCAACGACTAATTTGTTTGTCTGTATCAGATATTTTCTATACAATTTTATTTATATTTCAGGTGTTTCGGCACAGCACTATTCCACTGCGTTGTTCTAGTCACTAATTTTAAGCTTTGGCTATATTCAAAATATCAGACTTATATATTCATCATCAGTGTCATCTTATCAAATGCAACTTTCGTGATATTTAACATAATTTACTCTGTTATTAATTTGTGAGTATAGATCTTTATGTCTTGACGTCAACAAATGGTTCTAATAACTATCTATTTTCAGGCAAATCGATGGAGATATGTTAGGAGTTTATCTTCAATTATTGTCTTCACCAATGTTTTGGGTTTTAACAATATTCGTAATAATAACGTGCCTGATACCAGATTATTTGATAGCAGCTTCAAAGGAAATTATTCGTAAGGATAAGAGACAAAGGACAATTATTTGTGAAGAGAGTGGTGTTAGAAATTATGACGAAGTAGTACAAACAACCGTTTTATAAGCATAAGTGATTTTGTTTTTGTATTTATTGTTTTAATAAAATTTAATTATTCAATGGAAATGTCGTTTTATTATATTTCAATAGTACTATTTCACATAACTTATTGAGATTATTTATCAAGCAATCAGTGAAGTACACCACCTTTTTGAATTTACATTATTAGAAGTTAAAAATTTAGAGAATAAAAAAATATTTTCATTTTCAACAAAGATTATCATATGAACTGATAAATTGAAGAATTGAAATCTGCTGCTAATGAAAATATTTTAAAACTATCAAGTCAAATAAAGTCTATTCCCTCCGTGCAAAAAAGTGAATAATTATTACAACGCGCACAAAATATTCTTTTGTTTTAATCAATCAACTAATGATAGATTTGTCAAAGTTTATAAATAAGCATGAGTATCTATTAACTTGATAATTATCAGTGAAAGTCAAACTATAAAGTTGAAAATATTATGAATTTTCAATCTGTTCCTCTCTAAGAAAAATCGAATAAAGACTCCAGGAGGTACCAGGCTAATAGTTGTCGGTGGATGTACCAGCGATGAACAATTGCAACAGAGAAACAAGTTTAAGAAGTGCAAAGAAAATGAAATCGTGACAACTAAATATACCTTGATCAACTTTCTGCCAAAAAACCTCTACGAACAATTCAGTAGGGTTGCAAATGCGTACTTTCTGGTCATTTCTATAATTGCTTTGTTTATTGGTCAGTTGGAAAAAAAACTTAGCAATAATATATAACTGAAGCATACTTCTCGACCAAATGTTAAGTTTCAAAAATATTATTGAAAAAATATTCAAAATTTTCAGATAGTCCTGTGTCACCAGTAACTAGTTTGGCTCCGTTAATTTTTGTGGTGTCGGTAACTGCCGTAAAACAAGGATATGAAGATTGGATGAGACATCTTGCTGACAAAGCTGTTAATCGAGCACCAGGTAATTTGATTTGCCATGTATATACTATAATTTTAGAGTGTACTTTAAGCGGCTGTGATGCACATTCTTTAACCTGGTTCTTGAAATAGCCACCCGGTTGTTCTCACCAGAAAGGAAATGGTCAACCACTGAGTTGCCTTCTAGAAATACTAGGTTAAGAAATATGTGATCACTGCTTTGAAAACGCATAGTTGTGATTTTTGATCAAAAAATGTTTATTGTTTTCAGTGAATGTGATTCGTAACGGAGAAGATTGCATAATTCAGTGTCAGGAAATACGCATTGGAGAACTGGTCAGAGTTTTCCAGGATTGTGAAATTCCTTGTGATATGGTCCTGCTGGCATCCAGCGATCGCGACAGATGCCATGTTACCACAGCCAACCTGGATGGAGAAACCAATCTTAAAAGACTCTTGGTTCCAAAAACACTTACAACTATTTTTCCAGGTACAAAAAATATTTATTTGAACATCGCGAAAGGTAACATACTATCAAAATTAGTTTGCAAGTCGTCTATATAATTTCGGTAGCATGAATATCATTTTATTATGGTTATTATTATTGAGGTGAGTTGGAAGTAACAGCCATCATCGAATGCCAGAGCCCTACTTCTGATATATATAGTTTTTATGGACGCTTTGATTTACATGGAGAACTTCAAACATCGATAGAACTAACAGAAAATAATCTACTTTTGCGAGGATCAATGTTAAAAAATACTGATTGGGTTGTAGGTTGCTCCGTTTATACAGGTAAATAGAAATAATAAGTTCTATGACTCAGTATACCAATAACTTATTGTATGTTTTTCCTTTAGGATGTGAAACAAAGTTATCACTAAATTCAAGATTTGCAAGAAATAAATTCAGCACCAGCGAAAAATTCGTTAACAGGTTCCTGGTGTTCTATGTAATGATCATGATTGCAGAAATGATCGTAAGTTATTTCATGAAACTATACTATGAAATTTATGGAGAACAACCCTGGGACGAAAAATCCGAACGATCGAGCAAAACTAGTAGTGAAGTGGTTCAAGACATTTTTTCGTTTTTGATGTTATACAACTATTTAATACCTATATCATTATATGTTTCGATAGAAACTCAGAGACTTATAGGTAAGTAATAAAAATTATAATCTAATTAAAATATGCAATCAAGTAGAAAATTCTTCGACAGATGTCTAGATCGCAAGTGTATTATTCTCTTTGATTGATTTGTCACAAAATATCTTAAACAATCCTTATTATGTCTTTGAGACTCAAATTAATTAATCAGCAATACAATTTATACGTTTTCTAGGTTCTTTGTTCATGGAATGGGATATTCATTTATACGACCACAAAATCGACCAGAATGCATTGGTGAATACATCAAACCTGAACGAAGAGCTTGGTCAAGTTGAAATACTTTTCTCTGACAAAACCGGTACTTTGACTAAAAATAAGATGCGTTTTCGAATATGTTGTATAAAAGATAAAATCTATGCAGAAGAAAATGATGTGCTACTGCCTGTACACTTTGATGAAGATTTTTTAATTGAAGATCGACCATTAACTATGAATGATCATACGGTAATTAGAATCAATATCAAATAATTGGTAAAATTAAATTTTACATCGAATTTTCAAATAATAACAAATTTAAATAAAAAATATCATCAAAGTTTGTTTTACGATTTCTTTATCTAGGAAGAGATGCAAGAATTCTTCCGATCAATTGCACTTTGCCATACAGTACAAATATCAGAAAAAACCGTAACCAGTATCTATAAATCATCGGAAAATGTAAATTTAGATATGCCTGAATATCAAGCATCTAGTCCTGATGAAAAGGCTTTAATAGAAGCCTGTTATAAATTTGGTTATCAATTTATTGATGATGAAAACGAAGAAATACAACTTAAAATTGTTGGTAAAGATGATTACGATGCAGAGGTTAGCACTTTCTAAAAAAAAAAAATTGAGTTGCACCGACCTTTTTGTCTCCATAAAAAATCATGCCATCTTCAACAAAATAATACAACTCCTATCAATTATTAAAATTAGTATTTGATTTATTTTCCAGTTAACAGAACACCCAGGAATTGCAAACAGCAATTATACCATCGAAATATATAATCGTTTAGAAGTCTTAGAATTTACCCATGAGCGCAGGAGAATGTCTGTAATAATAAAAGACCAGTTTGACCAGGTGCTCATAAATATTAAATCGTTAAAAAATAATATGGAGATATACATATTCCAAAATTATTTCAGATATATTTGTTTTGCAAAGGAGCCGCGTCCGCAATTTTACCATTATGTGAAAATAACGAAGAAATGAGTTTAATACAAAATTACGTTCAGGAGCTCTCACGAAGGGGATTCAGAACATTGGCTATTGGATCAAAAAGACTTCTTGAAGAAGAATATCTGGATATCAAGAACAGTAGGTACTTCCAATAAATTTTATATATTATATAAGAAATTCCTAATGCAACATTTGTTTATTGTACATTTTTGTATTATCAGCATTAAGAACTGCAAGATCAGTAGTATCTAATCAAAGGCATTCAATGATAGTCAGACATTATGAGAATATTGAAGGAGGTTTGAACCTTCTGGGAGCAACTGCTGTTGAAGATGCTTTGCAAGATGATGTTGCGGATACTGTGATATCTTTGAGAGAAGCAGGGATCAAAATATGGGTGCTGACAGGAGATAATGTAATATCAATATTATTATTAGTATTGCCATTGTCAGTTCCTAATTCGATTATTATTCGAATAATATTTACAGCTCGAAACAGCTCTAAATATATCATTTGCCTGCGGGCACATCAAACAAAATGCAAAGCACCTCCATTATTTTGTTGATTGCAAAACTGAAGAAATGTGTCGAACTTTAATAACAGAATACGAAAAAGAAATTAATAGCATGTCTGATGACGGTGGTCATGATCTGATAGTGGATGGCAATAGTTTAAATATCATTTTAGCATTTGCGTCCAATGAATTCAGGGACCTTGCTGCTAAATGCCAATCCGTACTGGGTTGCAGATTGTCGCCAATGCAAAAATGCCAGGTAAATAAAATTAATGTAGGATAATCTATGAACTGGATTGGGACATCTTATCGTACGCTGTGTATTTTAATACTTGTTTTTATTTTTAATACAAATAATATTTCATCAGGTGGTTCAATTAATAAAAGCAAGCAAATCGATGCCTATAACATGTGCGATTGGCGATGGTGCCAACGATGTATCCATGATACAAGAAGCACATATTGGTCTTGGAATATTTGGAAAAGAAGGACGACAAGCTGCACGGTAATATTGTTTATAAATTGAAAACTGTTTTATTAATTTAATTTATAGTTATACCAGAACGACGGCTTTTCTTCTATTATACCCCCAGTTATTCTAAACTATTCCTTTAACCATTATTTAAAATGCAGTTTATAGTAATTTATTGAATCATATTCATTGTCCAGATGCGCAGATGTAGCATTCGCAGAATTTCGTATGCTAAAAAGAATTTTTCTAGTTCACGGACATTGGTACTATCAGCGATTGGCAAATATGGTGCAATATTTTTTTTACAAAAACTTAGTATTCATGAATATTCAGGTAAGAACATTTTTTAAATAATTTCCTTCAATTTGACCAATGCATTTTACTTTTTATAGCTGTTTTTCCAAGCGTCGTGTATGTACTCCTCATTATCAATTTACGATACCGCATATTTAGCTTTATATAATGTGATCTTTACTGGATGGCCAATATTGGTATTCTCTTTGAGCGAACAACGAGAAAGCGACTCGAAATTGATGGCGTGAGAAAGAAAAATTAAAAAATCATTATTTATATTGAAATACATACCATCGAAATTACTACTGTTCATAATTTTTCAGAAATCCGAGGCTATACATGAATAATAGCCAAAATTTACTGCTGAGATGGCCTATGTTTCAACAATGGACGCTTTTGGGCATTTGGCATTCTCTTACCATTTATGTTTCAGTATACTCAATTTGGTATAACGATCCAGCTATTTTACCAGGAGGCAAAATTGTAAATTTGTGGTAAAACTTTGATATATTAAATAGTAAACTGTAATTTTTTGTAGGTACTTTAGAATAATCAGAAAGGGTCTAGAAAGATGCCTCAAAGTCAACAATAAAATACCAAATTTTTTATATGCATATGTGCCTTTACCTTTACCATACCTTTTTTATTTCATTTTAGGTGCTTTGGAGCAACACTATTTCACTGTGTAGTATTGTTAACCAATTTCAAGCTATGGCTTCATGCCAAGTATCAAACCTACGTTTTCATCTCCAGTATCATTTTATCAATGGTAATATTCATCTTATTTAATATAGTTTACAGCCTGATTTATATGTGAGTACAATAATTATATGAAAAGTTTTCATCCTGCATTGCCTAAATGTGCAATGTAATATTGTAGAAAAATTGAAGGGGAAATGCTGGGAGTTTATATTCAATTATTATCGACGCCCACTTTTTGGTTTTTATCAATATTCGTAGTTATTACGTGCTTAATACCAGATTTCACAATTATGGCGCTGAAAGAACTAACAAAAAACAAGAGGCCTTTACAGAGGATTAATAGGAATAGGCAAAGTACACACGAGTTACATACAATGAAAGAAAGTGTGAATATAGTTTAATATACAAAAACAGTTTTGTATTTTATGATTGAATAAAGTTACACTTAATTGACTTATTCAATTAATATTTCTATATTCAATATTATTCAATAATTATGATAAGTAGATTCTACAAAAACTTAAATGCACAATTATTTTAGTTGAGCCTATTGGAATATCATCATTGGCAGTTGAGTATTATCATAACATCAAGTCTTATAAAACAAAACTTTCCAATGTTGCATAAATAGATAAAATGCAAAATATATCACAGAAAAACATTTACGTATGTGTATATACACACACATATATATATATATATAATTATAAAGAATAATATTGATATTATATAACCATATAGTTATTTATATTAATTTTTTAATTTTATGAAGAACATCTCAATATGAGTTAAAAAATACTTAAGCCATACACCAGCTTAACTTATGACAAATTTGGATTAATTTAAATATAGGATTATAATATTTTTAATGAGCATTAAGAAACTTATGTAAATTTATAATTTTATGTTTAGTTTTATTATGTATGCATGTTTTGGCAGTATATTCTGAAGGAAGGTGAAGGTAAATTGATGTCAAATCAATACAAATGTTAAGATGTGTTGTAGTGAATATAAAATTATTATAAAGCTAATTAATTGGATTACAGTCAGATGGATTAAAATGTGAACTAGGGCGTACTATTTTTAAGGTTTTTAACAATATCCATTTATTATGTTGACAACTACCTTCTCGAGTGAGTTTACAAACGAATCATGAAACACCTGCAATATATGGGACGAAATTAAATTTCAAGGCAAGAAATAGCTTATTACTACCTTATAACTGAACAAAAACGAATGCAAATATTGGTAATACACTGATGCAAAACGTAACAGAACAGAAAAAAATTATGATTGGAGAATACTACTTGAAAAGCAATTATTCTGGTTTGGAAGGATCTATAGATATTGGAATAACAAAAAATAAATTGCATAGGAGACAAATTATAAATCTTTAAAACAAAAGTTACCTTGCAAAATCGCTTGATCTATCGATGATATGTTCAAACTCAGCAAATGAAATTGCTCCATCATCATCTAAGTCACCTTCATCTAAAACATGTCGGATAACTCTATCTATTTCAATATCACTCAATTGATTTTCCTGACCAGTCAACCTTGTAATTATTTCTTTCAAATCATTAATACCCAACATATCATCTTCATCAAAATCTAAAAATATAACACAAATATTCCATGAAAAAATGATTAAAAATCAGTGTAATACAAGCAAAAGATATGAGATACAAACCATATATTCGAAATGCATGTTCTGCTTTCACGGAAGCTGGAGCATGTTCACTCAGTACAGACATCATGTCTAAAAAGTCTTCAAATGTGCAATCACCATCTTTGCTTGAGCTAAATATTTTGCATATTCTGTCTCCAAAAGGATTTGTATTTAGTTCAGGATATTGCAAAATTTTTGCCATTGGTAATTTAGCATTGCGATTGTGACCAACTTTTTCAGGTGCAAGTGCTTTGAATTTTCTATGAGCACTTTAAATAATATTTTTATTAGCCATTGGTATTATATAAATAAAGTAGTAATAAAATGAAAATGTAATACTCACTATAAAACTTCACTTTTAGAGAAGTATGTAAGATCCTGAAATAAGAAAATATACATTGATAACTACTGTAATGCATATTAGAACTTAATTTTAGTAGATTTTGAATATAAATGATTAATAAATTGATTTATACTCACAGCATACACCTCCAATTCTTTGTCAGTAAACTGGCTCTCACTCTGACCCATAATGTATAATTTAAATATTCTATTATTTCAATTAATTATTATACAATTTATTATGATATATACACTATTGAAAAACAATATATAAAATTGAGCTACCTAACCACTAAATCAATTTTAAAAAAGCAACAAGAATGAAAGAATTGTATTTTTATATCTGTCAAAATTAGTTAGGGTGTTGGCACCTTAGACAATTGTTAGGGTGTTGGCACCTATATTAGTCCTGTAGCGACCTGGCAACCCACATCGCACCTCAATTTGACAGTTAAACATTATCTTTGGCTCATCATGTTGGCAACACTACGCGAGAACCAAAGTGCAAGCTTTAGGGTCGGAACTCTCTCTTCCGTCTGCTGCCGAACAGTCAACATCATAAATTACAATACTTTCCTTTTCATTTTCAATACTAAAATATTATGTACATTTTATAAATAATAAATATAATCGCACATAGTGTTCTTACTATTTCATTATAAATAAAATATATTATATATAGACCACAGTTTCTATAATTGGTGACCCCGAAAGTGAATAAAAAACACGCATAAAGTGAGAAGGAAGTGAAACATGTGCATAATTTACAAGTGAGCAAGAAATACAGAACGTTCTAGTACCTACAATGGAGACTTCGACCACGCACATTGAGATCAACAACAACACGTGCTCAATAAATCACTCATTAACCTGGAAAATGAGTCGATTATAAGCACCACGGCAGCGGACAGGGAGCACCAAGCAAACATGGCAAACGCCATACAACACGGCCACAATCAAGCGAACAACGCACCAAGCAAACATGGCAGCAACCGCCATACAAAACGGCCGCAAGCAAGCAAACAATGCTCCAAGCAAACATGGCAAACGTCATACAACACGGCCACAATCAAGCGAACAACGCACCAAGCAAACATGGCAGCAACCGCCATACAAAAAGGCCACGGCCACAAGCAAGCAAACGATGCACCAAACAACATGGCGACCGCCAGCAAAAACGGCCACGGCCACAAACAAACAAAAATTAATCAAACAAAAACTTAAAAAAAAAAAAAAAAACTCAACAAAATTTACAAGAAAATTCAAGATGGCAGCCCGAAGTTCAAGATAAACTTTTCGCCGGGGGGGAGTGATCTGTAGCGACCTGGCAACCCACATCGCACCTCAATTTGACAGTTAAACATTATCTTTGGCTCATCATGTTGGCAACACTACGCGAGAACCAAAGTGCAAGCTTTAGGGTCGGAACTCTCTCTTCCGTCTGCTGCCGAACAGTCAACATCATAGATTACAATACTTTCCTTTTCATTTTCAATACTAAAATATTATGTACATTTTATAAATAATAAATATAATCGCACATAGTGTTCTTACTATTTCATTATAAATAAAATATATTATATATAGACCACAGTTTCTATAGTCCTTGCACAATAAAATATCAGCAACAAATTATGCAAAAATAAATATTTTTCATGTTTACTTTTCACATAATTTAAGTCGATTTATTATTAGATAAATCTAAAATATAATATTAAACTTTAAATCTCTTCTTTTACTTTATTTTACTTTGTCTATGCTCTTGTTATTTGTTGGTCGTCAATTTTCACTTGAAATCCGCTAGAGGAGAGCTTATCTGCGTACATTACCGTCTACGAAAATATTTCCAATTTCTTCTCTGTGTTCTGCTCAATATCACATTATCAAATTTAAGTTAAAATATTGTTCTCTATTTCTAATAAAATAAAAATTCATGATCTAATAATTAATTTTAATGTTATGGGAAAATAATTATCTACATTAATGATTTCTTTAGGAAAGTACGCAAAAATTGGTTTAGGCTGGTCAGTAATCAATACACATATTTTTTAGGTTATATATTGTGTAAAAATAATTTATTATTCGATATTATTTTATTCCAGGACATTTCTAACCTTTGGCAGTATTTACGCTTTTGTTTTATCAAGGAGATCAATTGATAAACGACGTTATGAGGATATGAAAATAAGAGAACGAATTCGGAATTCTAATATCGGCGAATACGAATCAACGCGCAAATTTACATAAATTGATTCAATAAACAAGTTTGTACATTTATAACTCAGTCATGGCTCTACCTCAATTAGATCCCGCAAAAATACAAATGGTGCAAGACCTCGAAATAGAAATGATGTCTGATATGTACAACAGGATGACTGCAGCATGCCATAACAAATGTATTCCACCAAAATATGCAGATGCAGATTTAGGTAAATTGACAAGTTCTTAAAAAAATACTAAACACTTATCAATTGCCTTGCAGTTGCAATGACACTGCATTGATTTTCATGTAATATATTCTAAATTGATATAATTGTTATTTTATTGTAGGTAAAGGTGAGTCTGTTTGCTTAGACCGATGTGTAGCAAAATACTTAGATATTCATGAAAGAATAGGAAAGAAATTAACTGCAATGTCAATGCAAGATGAAGAATTTGTCAAGCGAATGGCTGGTGAAAAATAATGTTTACCATTATTAAAATGCTTGCAGAATTTTGGAATATTAGTTAATATGTTAGCAATTCAAACATAGTCAGTTATTTCTTTTTATATGCTTATAACGTGTATATGATAGACAATACATGATATATATATAAAACTTTAATATTTGTTTGTTTTCTGGTTATTTAGGTAATAACCATTTCAGGGAGATCTTTTTAAAAAAAATTATGTGGTTGGTTACCATTATTCGTCATTTATTTCAAAATAAGACTGAAACGTTGATAAACAGAATATATTATGTCTAAGTTGTGTGTGTTAATTATTATTTCTAATTCAGTCGGATTTCTTAGTTTAATTAATCTTCCAAATAATATTGCTAGAATTAGAAACATATTTGAATGACGTCCGACGTTTGTTGTACGAGAATCACATAAGAATCTCAGAAGGCTTTACTTCAATTTGACAGTTTTTATATTTTGAATTACTTATTGCACAATTCCGTCACATTAAGGTTATATTGAAACTAACCCCAAATCATGGATCATGAAACCAAATAAATAAGTATAATATTAATATTTTCATTATATTCAATTACATTAAGAATAGAAATTGAGATATCTATAAGGTCAACATGTACAAAACTTGTTCACACTGTCGATCACTTACCTTTTCTGCACGTAAAAGAAGCAATTGTGTATTAGGAATTTACTATTCAACAAAAAAAGATACAAAGATACCCCCAATTAAATATACATCAACCATAAACTTACCGAAAACAACATTTCCTACAAGAGTAAGTGTAGCCCGACGAGTGCAGGTTGATGAAGAAATCAAACAGGTTTTTGAAAGCATTATATGTAAAAGACAGAGAAAACTATGATTTTTCATTTGTATATTTTTGTTTTTATAGAACTCTGCATTCGATGAACTCTATTCATGGCAAAGAAATAATCTACCAGGCCCTGATTTCATTTTGCATGATGGACCTCCTTATGCCAATGGTGATTTACACATTGGTCATGCTATTAATAAAGTAAGCATTAAATCTTTCATATTGAATATACATATTATATATCAAACATATTTTTATAATATGTGCTAATCCATCTTTTATTATCCAGATTCTAAAAGATATTACAATTAGGCATAAAGTAATCTCTGGCCAACGAGTACATTATGTACCTGGCTGGGATTGTCATGGCCTACCCATTGAGTTAAGAGTCTTAAATGATATTAGGGAAGATATTCCACCTCACAAAATAAGGGAAAAGGGTAAATTGCCAAATATATCTTTGCTTTTATTAACTTATTATAAAATATCTTTATCTCAGCTCGTAGATATGCATTAGATACTGTAAAACAACAGCAAGAGAGTTTTGAATTATGGGGAATAATGGCAAATTGGAGCAGTACAAGTGAAACTTACAGAACAACAGACAAAAGTTATATTCAACATCAGTTATTGCTTTTCTTAGAGTTATATGAACAGGGATATCTTTATCAAGATTTAAAGCCTGTATATTGGTCTCCAGAATCCAGGTTAGTTGATATGTTATAAATTGTATCAATTATAACATTTAATTAATTACTAATTTCAGGACAGCGTTAGCAGAATCAGAGTTAATATATGATGAGCAATATAAGAGTCCATCGCTGTATTTTCGAGTAGAGCTTCAGGATTTTCCAGAGCACATAGAAGATTTTGTGAGAAAGTAACATTTTATTTTTAGTTAAAATGTAATTAATTGATGGGAAACGAGCTTAGAAATTATTTGAACTATTTGGTTGATTGCTCATTACCTCTTTTTAAGAATACTTACACATTGTACATTTTCTGAATCCAGATAATTTCTGATTCTTATAGATTATTGGTTTTTGCTATTTATGCTGTCCACTAAATAATTTCATAAGTACTAAAACATAAAAAATTTAATCTTTCAAGTTCTCCTATATATGCGTTAATATGGACCACAACTCCATGGACTCTAGCATCTAATAAGGCTGTTTGTTACAATCCAGAACATACATATAGTTTAATAGAAATTGAAAATATATCTGGGGCATATTTGATCGCAACAGATTTAATACCAGCATTTGCACAACTTCTGAACAAAAACACAAAAATACTCACAACTTTCAAAGGTTTGTTAAATTGTCTGGTATGGAGATCATATTGTACTAGTTAAATTCATTTAATTTTTTTACAGGGTCTTTGTTGGAGGATACTTCTTATAAATCGTTACTTGGTGAAGAAATATTTCCTTTTTTGGAAGGAGAGCATGTAACATTAGGCAAGGGAACTGGTTTGGTTCACACAGCACCAGCCCATGGTGCAGAAGATTTTTTAGTAGCCAAAAAATTTGGGATTGATTTGGTATTTATATAAAATTAATTCAGTGATAATTGATTACATTAAGCATACATTGCAAAATATAGAACACTTGCAATAAATACTTTACATAAATAACATTAATAAAAAATTTTATCATCTATTTAATAAACACATGTAATATCAATTATAAATTGATATTAAATTTTGTAGTCATGTATTGTTGATGAAAATGGGCGATACTCATCTAAAGCTCCTGATTTTCTGCAAGGACTAGATGTATTAAAAGAGGGAAATAAGACTATTTTAAATAATGGAGATATCAAAAAGAATATTATTCATCTTGATTCTATTGTGCATAGTTACCCATTAGATTGGAGAACAAAAACTCCAGTGATATTACGTGCCAGCAAACAATGGTTTATTGATACAGATAAATTGAAGAAGCAAGCAGTTGTGAGTTCTTATGAATATTCTTAAACCTTTTAATGAGATAAATTAAGTTTTTATTGATCTGGCTAATTTTTATTATCAATTGCAAGGAAGCTTTAAAAGGTATAACGCTGTATCCAAGCTTAAATAATCTATCAAATATGAAAGGATTTGTTAATCAAATTGAAAAAAGACCATACTGGTGCATATCAAGGCAGAGATCATGGGGTGTGCCAATACCAGTGTTGTATGATAAAACTACCAATAAACCAATTATCAATAGGTAAATTCATTAAACTTCATATATAATTATATTCAATGGAATATATTTTATATCATCTCTACTTTTAGAAATATTGTAAGTCATCTATGTGAAATTGTTCAAAATGAAGGTAGTATTGATGCATGGTTTACAAAATCATTGGATGAACTCATACCAGGGCAAATTCTGAAGAAAAGTGGACTGAAATCAGAAGATGTATATAAAGGAAATGTAAGTCTTTTTTTGTCTGCTTTATGAAAGTAAATTTTAAAAGCAACATTATTCACAGGATATATTAGACATTTGGTTAGATAGTGGTGCATCCTGGTTGGGAGTTATAGGAAGAGATAAAATAGCAGATTTATATCTGGAAGGCGTTGACCAATTTCGTGGATGGTTTCAATCATCACTTTTAACTAGTGTTGCTTTAAGAGGGAAAGCCCCATATAAGTAAGATTCACATCAGATAGCATTAACTATTTAGAATCTCTTCTGACTTTTATATTTTTGCAGAAATTTATTTGTGCATGGTTTTGCAGTGGACGAAAAAGGTTTGAAAATGTCAAAATCTTTAGGAAATGTAATAAGCCCTACAGATATAATTAAAGGATCTAAGTCAAAACCTGCTCTGGGAGTTGATACGCTACGGTAAATCTCTAGACTGTTATAATAATTATTTTTCTAATACTGTTATATATATTAAATAAAGACTTTTTTAAGCTGGTGGGTTGCGAATCACTCAACACAACATGCACTGATACCAGTTTCTGAAACGTTATTAAATTCTAGTTCAGAAAACATTCAAAGATTGAGATTAGTATTAAAATTTTTATTAGGCGCTGCTAAACATTCAGAATTAGTTGATGTTTCAGAAATAAAAGAAAATAAAGATGTCTCATTTTCTAGAGAAGATAAATCTCTAAAACTGCTTGATAAGTATATGTTTCATAAACTGTATGAATTTGATCAAAAGGTGAATATTAATGCACAATTTAAATTAAATATGATTCAATTTACTACCTGAATTATTTTTTAGATGACTATATTATATGAATCATATGAATATAACCGAGTATGCGCACATATAATGAACTTTGTTGCAAATTCTTTATCTGGATTATATTTGCATGTTATTAAAGATCGACTTTATTGCGATTCGATTAGTGAAAGTGATGGAGCCCAATTAGTATTAGTGACCGCGTTAGGAATTTTGTGCAGAGCCCTATGGCCTATTTTGCCACATTTAGTTGAAGAAGCATGGAGCCATTATGCTGGTAATACAAGTAAGTGAGAACGTTTAGTTGCTAAAATTTGAATATTGATTAAATAATTAGTTTTATTTATGCACTCTGAATATAATGAATTTATTTTAGAACGAGAACCATTTTACCATCATCCACCTCATGTTTCAACAAGGTGGTATTGTCCAGAGGTGGTACCTCCTATGGAACTTGCTTTTGAAATGAGGTCTATGTTAAATAGTCTTGCAAAGCAGAACACCTGGTTACTGTCTGCTGATATAACAATCAATGAACGCATAAAGCCGTTAGTAAAGGTAACGTTTGAAATTCTTCTACAGATCATTGATGAAGTATAAGAAAACACACCACATGCTTTCATAAACTTATGCATATATTGATCATTACTATTCACAAAACATCTTACTATTTTACACTTTTTTTCAAATGTTTTTTTTTTTTAAATTTTGTTATAATTATAGTTCCATTGTTTTATTACAGATGTTGCAATCGCAGGAAAGTTCCAAAACTTCCGAGTTGTGCGATATACTGCAGCTATCGAGCATTACATTGTATCAGAGTGATGAATTTCTAACAAATGGGTTCAATATAGAAATCAGGCCAACAAATTCACCAGTCTGCCCTCGGTGTCGAAGGCATAGTGTCGATGATGTGGATCACTTGTGTGAACGATGTAACAATGTTTTGAATGGTTAATTATTTTATAAAATAAATATTTGTAGGACAATTAAGTATCTTTTATTATTTGAAATTTAATAATATATGGCACAAAATATAGCGAGCCGCCGGTATCCTCATAGTTGTTACTCCGTTATACATTTCCATATTATTTTATATATATTCTATTATTACATTACAATGTAAAATAATTTAGACAATGTCCATTTCAATTATTTATTAACAAAGTTAAAAAAGTAGTTTTTTTATATATATTAAAAATATTATTAACGCATCTAAGCGAGTCAACGTGTAATATGAATAACATTTTACAATCAATATTCTTAAATTTTTTACAATAGCACAGCCATAGAAGCACAACCCCTCTGAGTATCTCGTGTAATCGCTTTGTATTATGTAGGAAAAGGAAGCAAAAGTGTATAAGCTATTCAATTTTCAAACTAGTCCACGCCAATGGATCAATCATTACATCTTGTTTGTATAAATGTTTACCATTAGAGAGCCATTCAGCATACAAAGATACCATAGGATCCTTATTGACGCTTAACATTGACGTAACCCTATCTTGATCGTCAAAATAGAAAACACAAGAAAAGATAATTCTTCGAGACTACCTACTATTTGCAAATTTGTGAATTTTCCATATCCAGTGTACCTGAAAGATTTTCCATAAATCATAGTCCAAAAAAATGGAACACTCCTGCAAGGTACATCTCTATGCAGCATGTTCAATGCGGCTATTTTTCCGTGATAATGAGCTAATGGATAGTGGCCGATCGAGGCAGACTGATTGAAATTGCAATACACAGGAGCATATGCTATATCACCACCGGCATACACATCATCTACATTAGTTTTCATAAATCTATCGACAATAATTGTACCATCAGTGTTCAATATTATTCCAGAATTTTTTAAAAAATCAGTATTCGGTATGGTTCCGACTGCCATGATTAACAAATTTGCTTGCATAATATATTCGCCATTTATCTCGACTGATTCTAAAATCCCACCTTGCCCAATGCATTTTGTGATACTGCACTTGCTTAAAAATATAACACCCTGCTCTTCGCAAAACATTTTTATACGCTCACCGACTTCTTTACCAAATATACGTTTGAAGGGTACAACATCTCTCATTACGACTGTTACTTTACGAACTTTACCAGAACAATATGCGGCCATTTCTATACTGACAAAGCTGCCTCCTAAAATCACAACTTCATTCTCGGGTTGCAATAACTTAAGTGCTTGTTTAGCGTGTTCGGTATCACGAAGAACCATCACATTTTCAAGATCATTGCCCGGGATCGGTATTTTAGCAGCTCGTAACCCAGTCGCAATAAACAATTTATAATAGTTTAAAATTTCACCGTTGCTTAATTTTACCGTTTTTTCTATACAATTTACGTCTACGGCAGGAGTTCCTAATCTGACTTCGATATCATACTCGTCGTAGAATGCGGTTGTACGCAATTGTGCCTTTTCTATTTCAAAATGTAACTGCTTACTGAGTTTCACGCGATCGTAAGGTAAATATTTTTCGCGGCAAATGATAATAACTTGGCCGCTGAAGCCCTCTTGACGCAGTGTTTCCGCGCAGACGGCTCCGCTGGGGCCACCTCCGATTATCAGGTAGACCTCCGTATTTGTTGGCAACCAGCGGCTCATCGGTTTAACGCGTTTGTTTTGGGCCAATTCCGATCTTTTGGCGCGCACCTTCACGTTTCCGTTTTCAACGGTCACTTTAAACGAATGTATAGAATCCATGCCCGGAAATTCTTCAATATCACCTGCGTAACAATAAACACTATTTCAAAAAGGTATAAGGTATCGAGTTACTTGTATCACGAATTAGATACAATTGTTCTCGAATAAAATTATTAAAAATATTTTATATCGCTTAAAATATTGTATATACAGAATAATTATTTTATCGAGTGGTTTTTAAAATAAGTTAGTTTGATCGAAAGAATATTTTTTCCATCAATTACAGAAATTAACTTAAGGATTTCTTCTTAATTAATATTCTTGCTCATCAATAAGTTTATTATCATTTTTTTATAAATAAATTTCGATTCAGAACAAAAAACATTCATAAATGGACAATACACAGTACTTTTCCTTTACAAAGTTCAGCAGAGATTTTTGACCTCATTTCCCTAATTTTGTCTAAAACATCAAATTACTGTACAAGTAAATAATAATGAGATAAATTACTTCGACAGAAAATTTAAATGTATATGTTGTTTTCAAACGAACGGTATAAATCGATGAGATTAATAATTGATTATCTTCATCATGAAACTTTTATGAAGCTGAAACTTTTCATCGCATGATCGATTTTATAAAATGACATCGTTGTTCAATAAATAAAAAAAACATCATTATATGTATCAGTAAAGTATACACATGTAAATTAAAATAGGTTCTTATATTGCCTTTGCTCTGATTTATAGCAATCATAGTATTTCACAAGCAGATAAAAAAAATCCTTTTACTAAGTGCTGCTCTTTAAAATCTTAGAATCAAATTTTTTTGGTCCACGCCAACGGATCAGCTTCTAAGTCATGTTTAAATAAGTGTTTACCATTCGCAAGCCATTCTGCATACTGGGCAACAATAGGGTCTTTATTTACAGATAACATCGATATAACTCTATTTTGATCGTCAAAATAATAAACAATAAATGATAATTCCTCCAGACTGCCTACGATTTGCAGAGTTTTAAACTGCCCGTAACCTGTGTATCTAAACGATTTTCCGTACAACATGGTCCAGAAGAAAGGCACACTTCTACAGGGCGTTTCTAAATTCATCATATTCATAGCCGCAATTTTTCCATGATAATGAGCCAGAGGAAAGTGACCAATAGCTGCTGGTTGATTGAAATTGCAATATACTGGAGCATACGCGATATCGCCACCGGCATACACACCATCTTTATTTGATTTTAAAAATCTATCGACAATAATCGTTCCGTCAGTATGCAACGCGATTCCGGAATCTCGCAGAAAATCAGTATTTGGCACAGCGCCAACTCCCATTAACAACAAATCAGCTTTAATAACATACTCGCCGTTTATTTCAACGGCATTTAAAACTCCATCCTTTCCTATGCATTTTGTGACGTTACATTTTGGCAAAAACACAACACCGTGGTCTTCGCAAAAGGCTTTGATACGTTCTCCAACTTCAGTGCCAAAGGAACGTTTGAAAGGCAGATTATCTCTCATTATTACAGTCACCTTATTGACTTTGTTAGATGAATACGCTGCCATTTCCATACTGATAAAGCTACCACCTAATATAACGATCTCATTGTCGGGTTGCAAAAGCCTAAGTGCTTGCTTTGCGTCTTCAGTTTCCCGTAGAACCATGACATTTTCTAGATCGCTGCCCTCAATCGGTAATTTGGTTGGCTGAGATCCGGTGGCTATAAACATTTTGTCGTATTTCAAAGTTTCGTTAGTTGATAGAGCAATTGTTTTATCTGTGGTGTCTACACTTAAGGCCGTAACACCTAGTTTCATTTCGATATCGTACTGATCATAGAAAGCCGTCGAGCGCAGTTGTGTCTTTTCGATTTCGAAGTTGAGCTGTTTACTGAGTTTGACGCGATCATAAGGTAAGACATTTTCGCGACAAATGACAACCAGACGGCCCGTGTAGCCCTCCTGGCGAAGTGTTTCGGCGCAGACGGCACCGCTGGGACCGCCGCCGATGATCGCAAACACTTCCTTGTTTTCAGGATCGTAACGCACCATGGGCTTCGTGCGTTTCGACTCGGTCAATTCTGATCTCTTGGCGCGCACCTTCACGTTCCCGTTTTCTACAGTCACTTTAAACGAATGTAAAGAATCCATACCGGGATAATCTTCGATATCACCTGCATAATAATAAACACCGTTTCAATGTAATGATGGGATCAGATTTGCAAGGTGATTTTTACGCCAAGGGACATTGTGCATGGTGCATTGCACAATAGAAGCAATTATTAAAATGGTAACTACAATATCCAACTAAAATGATCTGTATTAATAAAATATGCTCTTGCGATGGGAATAAGCGTTACATGCAATGGACAATAAGACTAATTTATGCATAATAACAAAATAATTAAGCAACAGATGAACTATGCTTCAGTAAAAATTTACTATCTATTAAAACGTTGAATTTCCATTTATGTTCAAATCGACATATTATTAATAATAGACTATAGCTTTTGATGTTTTGTTCAGAAACATTGTAGGAATAAAAATAACCACAAACGGAGACCGATCATTTTAAATGTCTCAGCTCGAAATCTTTTCTCTCTTCCTTTGCGTATAGACACTTATTTTTGAATAAATAATAACTGAACTAAAAAATAATAATCAGCGTATTAAAAAAATGACCTAAAAGTAGCATAATCACTCTAATAATTCCTCTACACTATAGGAGTATGAAAGATAATCAAGTGAATATTGGATTCCTTGAGAGAGTGGGCAGCAAAAAAATGTGATAAAAATAAATATTTCCTCTCGTAAAATGCAGAAGACTAACCCTCCATCCTCCCACTGATACCAAAAATAATATTAGAATTTCTCAGTTCATAATTATGACTTATTAAACGAATTAGAATTCGTTAAAAACGACTATTAAAAGTCAGCAAACTACTTATTAGGAACGCAATAATATGCGGTCATCAATTTTTTTTAAATTTTCCTTACAAAAAAGGAGGATAAAAACAGAATTTGGTAAAAAAGAATTAAGATTATTTAACAAATCATTAAGGAATAATGATAATATTAAAATGATAAATTAATAACACATAATAACGAAAAAATCCACCAACATGTATAATTTTATCAATAATAATTTATGTTAGTCACAATGAGCAAAGCATTTTTGTATTATATTATAATCATGCATACAAAATCCACATCCCAGAAACAAACATTTTTTAATGTATAAATTTTAGAGATCATCCATTTATTCATAACGTAACTTCAAAAAAAAAACATTAAAATATCCATAAAATCTATAAGAATTCTATATAATAAAATAAATATCGAATGCTGTTCATAAGCGAGCGATAAGTTTATAATGTAAATATATGTTTTATTACTGCTTCTGAGTTTTATTTCTAAATATAAAAAATAATATTAAGGAGCAGATGAATGTCTAAACGTAAAAGAGTCGCATTTAATGGATATTTTCTTGATTTTTTGTAAAAATAAAAATAATAATTAAAGACTCTTCTTACCTGTAGCAAGGTTGAAACAGGCACCATGCCAAGGACAGCGCACCCGGCCCTTGCCGAGGGCTCCATTGACAAGCCTGGCCCCGTAATGGGTACATTTGGCCCCAATGGCATAAAACCTGCCGTCTTGTTTGACCACTAAAATTTTGCCATCATCCCCAATATCGAATTGTTGCATTTCGTTTTCTCCGAGGGAAGTTTCCTTGCAAACGATTTCTTCCACATATTCGTTGCTGTAGGATGAAGGTTTCAGGTCTGATGATGAGGCTAAAAATAAAAGATATAATTTATATTACTTAATAATTGTTTATCATGAAAACATAATATTAGTTGAAAATTATTTATATATTCTTATTATTTAATGGTATAAATGAAAAGAGATTCAATTTGTATGAACCGTTGTGTATATATAAAACCAGAACTAAAGTAAACTATAAATATCTATCTATAAGGTTGTTTATTATAAACATATAATATATTTTTAGTTACAATTATATAGTTATGATTCATGTGTAAATTTTCATGTTGACTTGTGTAATGTCCTTATATTTATTTTTAGTTATAAATTCCCCGTAATGTTAATTATCAGGATAATTAAAATTATGTAATTAGAACAATTTATATTCATTATTTCGCTTTAAATGCAAATTATGAAACATTGACAATGAATAAAGATGAGTTGCCTAATTATTATGGAGTTTTTTTAATTGTATGAAATATTTGCCTTGATATCAATATAATATTATTGAATAAACAATTTCTAAATTTATATTTTACCCATTTTTTTTATTCATTAGACGTTAGCTATTTATATTTGTTTTTAATTGTCATATTGTGACATATTAAATATCATTAAATTTTCGAATATCTACATAAATAAAAAAATCTACATAAAAATAAATTTATATATTTATAAGTATGTTACCAAAATATATATAAAATAATCTCATTGACAGTCAAAAAAAGTTGATTAAATTATTCTCATTTTTGAACATGAGATCAACAAAATTTACACCAGTTCTATGCGTTCAAACATCTTTTATAATTTATCACATAGGCTAATAGAAACTTTGTCTTCTGATTGTCTATTAAATAATAAATAAATGAAAAAAACATCTTTTACACTGTTTTTAGATGGTAAATTCATAGATTTTTAGTATAAGAACTTATTTAATAGTAGCCATACATAACTTATTTAAATATTATTAATGACTTTAAACTTAGATGTCTGATGTTCTAATCTACACTCTCAAAGTTTCATCATGATCCTATTAAATTCTACTTTGCATATTAATTTGGAACTGGAAGTGCTACAATCGTGCTTAGTTTCTCATTATAATATACAAACAATAACGATAATAATACTTGTGTAATTTTTTAGCCATGTAATTCTGAATCTTTTCATATGACAGTGTATAATTTCATTCATATGAGATTATACATTGCAATCGCTACTTTTCATCGCATGATCAAAATTAGAGAACTTATTAAACCTTGAAATGTGGATATGACATCAAACTGCAGAGTAATCATGCATGTGGAGGACATTTTTTAAATATAAAATGGTTAAAGAAAAATCTTGCTTGATATAAATGCTCTAACAAATTTTCTCAGTAAGATATAGAGCAAATGATATAAAATTTCAAATAGCAAATGTAAAGTTTCTCTTACTTTCAGGAGCAGTACCGCAAACAGGTGAGAATGATTTGCAATTAGCTCCACCCATGTTTCTGCTTAAATTCTGTCTTGCAATCTAAAAAATTAAGATAAAAAAGTATTAAAATCTGAAAATTAATCTATTGTTAACCACGATCTACTAATAATAGAGAGTTTATAAATAGATTCCGTATTTGATTAATTTAGCAATCTAAAAAACTTAAAATATATGGATTGAGATTTTAAATCTAAATAAATTACTCCATTGATAACTGTGATTTATTAATAAAAAATACATGGAATGCGTATTGATAAATGTAAATCATAGAAATTTCTTAGCTTCAAGGATATAATAATTTAATGAAATATATATGAAAAACATTTTAAAATCACTATATTACTGTTTCCAAAAAAAAAACTTTCGAATCACCAACAAATTAAATAAAAATGTTTGTTAACAGGCATCCTTAATTTTTTTTATTTTTTGTGTTAACCATTATTTTTAGTAGTTTAGTAGTATTATATTTTTGTTGATTATAAATTTTAGATATACCTAGTGGCCTTCTTTCTATGGAGATCTTCCACGCTATAAAAAATGGGGTCAAAATTATAGTCCAATGCCTTATATAATATCATTGTTCTGGTTTCCATTCAATATATATTGAAAAAAATATAATATATTAACTTTTATGGTTTAATCCACCGAAAAAGAGTTAAATTGAGACAAAAAGTCATATGTGGATAAAAAATTCCACATGTTTCTTGAAAATTATCTGTCATGAAGGGTCAACAGATATAGAAACATTTGTGAAATATATTGACCATACATGGCAAATAATTTTTTAGAACAGTCAGTACACATTTTGCGATTTAATAATTGTTATTCCTGTTTATTTATGTTGTATAATAATAATATACCATAGAATATTAATTAGAATTAGAATCACTGAATGAAGGCTAGGATGTTAGCCAAACCGTATGAATATCAAATAAACTTATATAAAGAATTCATACAACATTTATTGGTGTTTAAATATTCCGGATGTGGAAAAGCATTTGAATAAAAATTAGCTAGTATTAACTTAAAAAATAATACTCTTAACTTAAGGTCTTAAGATTATAAGTTCAACATATATTTCATTGTACTAATTTGATATACATCTCATGAATAATAGATTTAAAAATCATTTTTTATAAAGTTTATTATATATATATATATATATATATGTGTGTGTGTGTATGTGTGTATGTACTCAATTGCATTTATCATGGTTATTTTTTCTGCAATATCCATTCGGTTTCGACATTGAAAGTAAAATCGATTGCAAACTATAAGCAACAGGTAGGCCTGCAGAAATTATCACCAAAAATAATAGACATCAATCTTATTTTTTTTACTAACACTTAAATTTTGAATTCACAATTAAAAACAGTTGCTGTTAACAACATCACTTAAATCTAAACATATAACTTCCAATAATTGTACACGAGCACATGATTAATAAAAGGCATGATTAACCAACCTTAAGGATTAATTGTTCTACTAGAATATTTAAAAATTTAACAAATATTAAAACACTATAAATTTTCAAAAAATAAACAAGAATCGTACTCTTATTACGATTACTACAAACTAATGTGTATAAAAGACGCTTTCACGTCGACTGACTTGAGTGAAATGAAATTGATCGTCCTTGCTTTTGTAACGATGAATAATTACACAATGTTTCAAGGTTAGATAATTCTTAATAAAACGCAACTTCTAAACTATTACATATATATTCTCTTTATCGACCAACTACATCATCTATTCTATTTACACGTTATTATTAAAATAGTCTACCAGACATCTCATATTCGAAATACTTTGAAGTCGAAACCTTGCGCATGACAAATGAACATTTATTTGAACAGGGTCAGACGATAGAAAATATTGGTAAAAAAGAGAAATGGAGCATAACAGTCTCTCCTGAGATAATAAAAAACTTAAACTAGGTGTAAGTGTCCCAAGGACAAGTCGCATGAATTTTTCAACATGGGTAAATAATTGACTTGGTCATTAAGAATATCAATCAATTTTATTTTTTTTATTTATTTATTTATATATATATATATATATATATACATATATATACACACACATATATATATACACATTATTTTTATATCTCAGTCAGACAGAGGTGCCTGGTATGAAAGATTATGAAAAACAGTTTTCATATTTTATATATACATTTCATTTGACTATTTCAATAATTATAATAATTAAAATATCTTTATATATAACTCTTCAGTCTTCTTTGTCTTCAATTTCCTTGTAGTATTTCTTTATTTTTCTTTTAGATTTATCGTCATCATTGGTCATCTTAATAAATACTTTATTAATTTATGAGTGATTTATAAGAATACCAAGATGCTGTAGACATAGGGCATCATAATGTGGGAAGCTATTGCAAATTATTCAATTTTGTCGAAAATTACCAAACATAACAGTTATTTTCGACTAATAGTTATAATTGTACTCTGCATTTCCTAAAAGTACTTCTTTATATGTATGGTTAAACCACTTTTCGTAGGCATTTAGGATGTGCTTTAAAAAGCTCTATCACCGTGCAAAGTATCATCAAAATCATAAAAAACTAGCTTCCCGTACCTTAATGAAATATTCGAGTAATATTAAATGTTTTTAAATAGATTATTATAAATATTTATGTATAAGTGATGTTGAGAACTTTAGCTAGATTTAGAAAAAAAATTTACCACCACTTCTAATTACCACTTCTCCCCATCATTATGAATCGAATCATTCAAATCGGTTGATTCGTTCTCTTAAAAACTGACATTTTTAGAACTTTTTGCTTCATATCTCCCAAATCGCTGAACCTGCCTTGGGATCGTTCAAGTATTACGTAAGCAGATTTATTACAATTATTTATCCCCCCATCCCCCATGTCAGCAAAAATAAGCAAAGCTCTTACCCCCTACCCCCATGCTTACGTAAGCATTTTGCAATTAATTTATTGTTTTTTTAAATATTGTAATTATTAGGTTATAATTATAATTTTAAAAATAAGAAAATAGATTTAGGATGTAGAGATTTTACTGTAATGGTATTCAACATAGAGTAACAAAATTATTATAATCTTACGAACATAACAAACTTATTTTAAATTTTGGGTACTGGCAAAGACAATGTAAGGTTGCCATTCGGTAAAAAAAATAAAAATACTACCTGTGACGTAATCATCACCCAGACTCTCATGCCCCCCATGTCAACCCAAAATAAGCAAATTAATAACCTCCCGCCCCCCTATAGTGCTTACGTAATACTTGAACGGCCCCCTTTGCCCAAAACTAATCAGCACATCTCCCTATCAATAGAAATCGATTGCTTTTTGAAATTTTCAAATCGGTTCAGCCATACGCCCGTAAAAATTGTCTCCACACATGCACACAAATCCATTTTTTCTTAGGCAAGCCAAAATGTTCAGAAACCTCTCAAACGTGAAGATATGCAAAACTTTTCATTTTAGATTTTTGGCTCATTAATATAACTTGCCCTACGGAAAGTTAAAAATTCAATTATTTATTATGAAGAAACAAATCGCCCAATCTTTACCAAAAACTAGTTAACGCGATTCCCAACTTTAAACTTCCAAATTTTGGTTCTTTTGACGAAAACGTAGGATGAAATATTTTGCAATTGTCCTCTAATTATCGAGTTTCATCAAATGGCTTTTAAAATTTTAAAATCGGTGCAGCCGTTTTTAGAACGTTTCAGGAGACACTGAAGATCACATTTTCTTATGTTAATTGTTAAAGGTTATGTTAAAGGTCACAACTTTTAAAATTGTGATATCACTTATCAACTAATTATTTCAAAAATAAAGTATGTATTATTCCAAATGTAATCATTTTTTATAATTAAAACAATTTTCTCAGGCCTATAATATTTTAGGCTGTTCTTTTATAAGCTAATTATAGAACGCAATTTTATAAAGTTCTTAGAGTCTCATCAAACGGGTTATAAACTTTTAAAATCGATAGAACTGTTTTTGAGAAAACGAAAAAAGACGAAAGATCACATTTTGGCTCCCTTGTCTTGTTCAGGAGAACTTGAAGATGAAAGCTGGTTTTCTGCCCACGTTTTAGTGCACAACTTTTAGGAACATTCGGGAAATTGTTTCCAACTTCATGTAAAAACTTATCCTTAAAACTGCTACTTATAAGCACTTATTAATGATCATAAGTGGTTATTAATAATTTAAGTATGTTCTTTTCAAAATAGTTATTAAATTTTTCGAATGACATAGTCCTAGTTCATGCGGCACTGACGTAATTAGAATTCTTGTTCAGAAATCAATTTCTAGGAACAGAACGGTTTGGCAATACCTGGATGCATGTTTGCAAGTATGACTCATTAAGAGGTAAACCCCAATATTTTAAATACATATTTATATATTAATAACCAGAAACAGCCACATTTTTCAGAATCTAAATAGTAATCATTATAATCTAATTAAAATTAGAGTACAATTCTGAAAAGAAACATGTTTGCGGATAAAAAATAATAAAGCTAACAAAATTATGTATAGTCAGAATGATCTATTTTTTTGGGAATTTACCCTACAAATTAGAAGATTTTTTTTAAACTAACTTTAAATTTATAGTACCATATAAACGTTGTGCTCATATTTTTTTATTCAATTTCATCAGACTAACTTCTAAATATGCAGATAACAAATTATGTTAACTTTTATGTGACATTGAAATAGACGTCATTAAAATTTATTATGCAAATAATGTACGAAAATCGTATGATCAAATTAAGTAAGATTATAAAAAAAATCATATGAAGAACATTTCAAAAGAAACAAAACTGATGATAAAAAAATAATTATGGTTCATGTTTTTAAACAAAAATAAATTATTAAAATTTATAAGGCCAATAATCAAAAGAAATATTATTAAATAATTCAAGAATCCTTTTCTCATCAATATCCATGTAATCTAATAATAGTCCAATAATAATCCAATTGGATTTTAACCCAGCTCATCTAGGACCTACCCTAGGGCAGTACTACCCATTATTTTATATATGAAAAATATGTTTTCAGTTGAAAATAAGCCCATATCGAGCACTGCGGTGTGAAACGGCAATGGAAAATCTCTCATACTATTCTTCCCTAAATCGAATTGGAAAAACAATAAAGAAGAGTTTTCTTCTTTAACCTCATAAGACTAAAAAACTTTAATTAAGTAATTTATAGTTATCTGGCTATTATCTTACTATTAATTGATATACTTATTTCATCATTTTATGTAGCTATAAAAAGACTAAAATAAATCTTCATTATTATGAAGGCAGAGGTAAACTATGGCTGAGAAATGCCATATGATAAAAAGTAAATAAGAAACATGTAAATAATAAAAAAAATGTAAATAATATACATCATGTATATAAGGCATTTAAATAAATTGTGTAGAATTATATAAGCAAATATTAATTAAAATTTAGGTGTACTAAAAGGACCAACAAAAAAGCTCCAGTAAAAAGGCATCTTTAAGAAGTAAATAAGCAAAAGGTAAATGTAAAAAAAACAAGTAAAATTATATAAATTATGAAAGGAGTCTTTAATTAGGCATAGATTATTAACTAGAAGAAATTGTTCCTGACATTCGGCCACGGCATAACTAGGAATCAAATAGTTTTATAAATTCAGGATAAAAGGTATGTTTTCAAGTAAGAAATATAATAGAACATTGATTATTATAATATTTTAAACCATATTACTGGATGCACACACAATCCACCGGAAATTTCCAAAACATGTGATTTTATGAAACAATGAGTTTTATAGAATGAACATTACTTTCACCCCGTAATTAATTTTTTTTTATTAATTAAAATTAAAAATATTTATGTAACTACATATTTAATAATGATAAACGTCAAGTAAACTTACCAAAGTGTATCTTCTCAGCAAATTGGACATAAAATTCAAACTCCTCATGCTCCCTTCTCCTCACAAATTCTACACATCTCTTAATTATTTCTTATGCCATTTTAAAGTTATAATTAAATGTTAAAATGTTTTTTATTGTAAAATTTCCTTCTAAAATACAGCAGGCGCACTATTCGTAAAAATATATAACCTAACATGGTGTGACTATTTTGACACATGTCGGACGACGAAAAGAGAAGGAAACATTAAAAAAAATTAATGTTGGAAATAAATTCGCAGCAATTTTATTATATCTGTTGGATTTCGATTAAAAATGTCTACTTCTTCCGATTCTTCTGATGATGAAGAAATGCAAAAATTTAGAGATGCTGCGGATCCACAATTATTAAATGATAGTATGTTTAATAACACAAAGAAGCAAGGTATTTTAAGGTTATAATATATATTTCAATCTAAGGATTTAACTTTTTGTAAGTTTAATAATGACTGTTTGCAGATACTTCAAAAGCCAAACAAAATATTTCACAAAGATCACTACAATTAGAAGAAACCCATTACAATGATATCAATATATCCGAATCTACCCAGAAACATTTTCAAAAAAGTTATCCGATATCATTAATAAACAAATAAAATTTGTGGACTTTGAATCTTCTCATAAAAATGATTCTAAAGATGAAGAAGCTACTACTGGAGTCAAATTATTAAAAAATTCTAAACATTTTTTGGACGATTTTGAAAGTGACCAGATCAATTGCATTGAGCATAATAAGAAACACAGAAAAAATGAATTTAATGACAAATTAAATGAAAAGAGATGTAAAGAAGTTGCTGTAAATGGGAATGATGTTCTTGCCAAATTAGATACAAAACATTGGTCAAATAGATCTAAAGCCCAAATATTTTCTTACAAAAAAGACAAACAGACTGCGCTTTGTACTTTAATTTCAGATAAATAATATATAAAAAAATGCTAATTAAGTATTTATTTTTATTCTTTAGCATTTGCAAAAGTTGTAACTTAGTCCAACAATTCAGATGGTAATAAATCAAACTTAAGTATTTCTTCCTCTCCTGGCTTATCAATTAATTCACTATCACAATATTTCATTACTTCATAAATATTATCAGGAATACTTCTAGAGTTTTTACTGGTTTCACAAAATAATCCAGTTAATTCAAAAACACTATGCAATGCATCTTGATCATCATTAATATTCACAGAAGAATTTGAACTCTCATTATTTTCAAATAAATCTGCATTCTCATATAATTTTGAAATTTCATCTGCATTTATGTTCTTTGAATGCATGGCATTGTGCCTTAATGAGCACTTCATTGATTCATTGGCTTCATCATTTGTTGATTCGGTAATAGACATGATTTGGTGTTTCAATAAAGCCTTTTTAAATATAAGAGTTACAGTCTTGTCTATTTCTTTACTCAAGTCATCATAGGGCAAACAGCTTTGTGATTGTATTCTGGCCATTGGGCTAAATGTATTATGAGGATGGACGCCCGATATTCTTTCCAATGAAGATTGAGAATTCACTATTTGTCCTAGCTGCATTAAAAGAGATAAAATATCATCTACTAAGGGTGGAAATGCTTCGCTAATCCTAACAAACGATGGTAAAACTCTCTGGAACAAACCAGTTGTTGTATCTGATGACAAAGCTGTGGAATAAATTTATTATGTATAAAATAAACATTTAGCATAATTTATAAAAATTAGAAAATATAAGAACTAACAGTCGTACATGCCTAATTTTTAAGTCGAGTTGAGTAGTTTTAAAATTATTAAATAATAAGACTAGCACCAAGAATTTCTAAAAAGTTCATAACATTTAAGAACAATCTTAAATTGTGGCATTAAATGATTCAAAGAATGCTATCACTAGGACTCATTGGCAAAACTGGTGTATTTTGCTTGGGCATGATATCTTTTGCGTTAGCCAATGAATTGACTTTATCATTAGTATTCTCATTTATTTGTTTCTGCATTGGCAACATAATATCTTTTGTGGGTTTAATTGGAGAAGGCAACAAGCTATCAGTGGTAGGAGAATCATTGCTATCAAAAATGCATTCATTATTTGGCTTTTTTGAATAACATGTAGCCTTATAATCTCCATTTGCCAGTGGATCAAATTCAACATAATCCTTGTGAGTTAAAGTTTTGCACATGTCTGGTTGGTTGTTAAGTCTTGAAGAATTATCGTCTAGTGTTAACTCTTTGTTGCCTAATATATCGCTTGTTGACTTGAAAAAGCTTGCATCTAAATCTTCTGTAGCACTATTATCATTACTGTAATCAGACAAATCAATATCATAATTTATATTTTGCAAAAAGTTGCTCATTTCATCAGGAGTTGCTAACTCATCCAAAGATTGTGTATCATATGACTTGAAACCAAATACCGGTGATGGAGATAAATATTCAATGGATGTTGATGTTTTCAGATTTGGTGGTATATAATTTTCTTGAATGATCAAACTATTAGATAACGTATTAATTATGGGAGTCAAGTAATCTTGAGAGTTTTTATCTTCACTATTTTCAGTAACAATTTTTGGAGTGGATTGTTTTAATGGGTCAATATTTTTAGGTTTCTCTGAAAACTCTATATCAGAAAGTTGTGGATCCGTCTTTAGTTCATCTATCTTAATATTTGTTTCCATTTGCTTTTCATCTGTTTCTGCATTTTTTATTGGTATTACAAAGGGAGTTCGAGCTATAATAGCTGCAACTTTTGTAGTAATGTCTTGTTCAAATTTTTCTAGTTGCATTTTCAATTCCTTCAACCCATCAGAAACTTTTACTGATCTACTATTCAGGTTGCTTAGATCATTTAGATGTTGAGCTCCACAATGCAATGCTTCACACATTGTTAAAGCTGCTTCCCACTGCCCATCACCTCTACATGGACCATTCATGAACGCATCAAACTGTTGCTCAGTCATGTTCAATGAATCGGCAACTAAATTTTCAATGAATGACACGGCACAACATAAGTTAGTAAAATAATAGCCACCTTCACCAGACATTAGCCTTGAAGCATTGCTGAATCTGGTTATATAATTTATATTACTCTTAAGTCTAGTTGGATTAGCTTTTAAAACTATAAATATTAAAACAGGTAAAAATTCATCTGCAGATGCAGGTCCATCATATGCTGTCTGCAATAACATAAAAATGCTTCTGCAGCACCGAACTATACAGTTTAACTTTTCTTGAGGTGATTTTACAGAATCCATGCTAATCAATTCAGTTATGGCAGTATAAACCAGTTCAATAACTTCTGCATTTCCTTGATCAATGTGGCAATCCAGGTGTTTTGAAGTTACCCAATTTAACTGTCGAATTCTTTCCTGAATAGCCCAATCCTTTTCTTCATCAGTTGTAGATGGTGGACAAAATAATAATTTATACAAATATGTGGTGGCATATTTTTCAAAAAAATCTAGTAAGCTTTCTTTAGTTTCTTGTGTCAACATTTTGTAATAACTGCTTTCATGAATTTGTTTCTCAAATAACTGATAACAGTTCTGAACAAATTCCTCAGCTTGTGATATATCAGGTGCTTTTATAACACCTTTGTACAATGCTTGGAGATATTTATGAACATCACGCTCAGCAATTGGTGTTAAATTTTTAGCGAAGGTTGAGCGAAATTCTTTATCCAGCTTTTCAAGATCAGGATTAGATTGCTGTACAAATTCACACTGAACTTTTTCATTGGGTTCAGCTCTTGCTAAATCTTTTGCATTAGAAGACTTTCGAAACACATTTAGTTTAGAAAACTTAATTTTCTTTTGCTTATCGCTTTGAAAGTTTAATGTGGATTGTTTACTTTTATTATGAACGTGCAATTCTTGTTTTTGTCTATCTTTCTGTTGATGTTCTCGATAACATTTTGAACAATATCCATCCCACTGAGCATTGCCATAAAATCCACACCCACTTTTACATTTGAGATCATTTTGATCTATTCGTAAAGATGGTGATTTTTTCGAATACATAGTGTATAATTTTTAATATTATAAATATAAAAAAGTATTTGTTTGAGTTTTACATTCTTAAATTTGAATATAAATCAAATGTCAAATTCTGAATTGACAGATAAAAGAGTGATCCCATATACAGTGTTGCCAGATTATAGAATTGATATTTGTGCAAAACGAAAAAATATTCAAAAAATCAAATATAAATAAAATATAAATAAATAAATATATATCATACCTCCTAATAATGTGGATAAGGTATTAATACAGAGCCTTGCTATACTCATTGTTTTAGGCAGAGCATATTGTAATGAAAGATATGATATTAAGTCAACTGCAAAAACTTGTTTCTCTAAGCACGGTTGGCTCAATAATTCTGGTACAAAATCTAAGCAAATATGTATTGACGGTATTCCACGGATAGTCATGCTTAATAATTCATTAGGATAGCCTGCAAGACGATATCACTCAAATAATTTGATATAATTACTATAGTAATTTAATTTAATAGTAATTAAGAATTTGATTTATTCAATTTTGTACCTTGAAAGTGAATTAATTTCACCAATGAAGGATCCGCAATAAAAACCTGATGTAAATGAGAGCATATTATGCTTCTGATTTCCCTTAAAGCCCATTTATGACCTGGTATTTTTGAATCCTCTTCATTTTCTAAACAGGATTCAAGCAAAACTTGCACAGCTAAACTTTCCTAAAGTTACATGATAAATATGTAAATATATTGCAAAAATATGAAATCTTTACATCATCAAATTTTCATACCTGAGCTGCTACTAAAGCGATACGTAATTCTTCTCTTTCTGACTCAGTAGTTAATTGTAAACCTTTTTCTGTAAGTGGTTTGTTCAAAACATGCCTCATCAATTGTATTCGTGATGCTGCTAAACTTGAATGCAAAATCCTCAATACAATTTCAAGTACAGGTGCATTACGAAAAACTCTAGTGTCACATCGTAATACCTACAAAAGAAAAAAATATTCATTATTTGATAATCTATTCAAGTCAGTTGAAATAAAATTCAAATATATATTTGAGTTAAAAATTACCTGCAATGGGTCTGCCAAAATATTTTCTTGGGTAAGAAATACATCTTTTGCAGAAGCATTATCATTTTGGAGAGCATTCACAGTCATTACCCATAGAGTTCTAGGTAAAACTGTATTCAATTGCATCCAAATTCTTTTATAAAGTTCTTGTACTTTTCTAGGGATATTATGAGGTAATATAGATTTAATATGCTTTATAAAAACTTCTGCAAATGTCCATATATCAGTCGGATCTTGCAACAACATCTTTTGCAAAACCTTAATTAGTGCATATGGATTATTTTCCAAACTTGAAAAAGCTTCTTTTATGCTATTTTCAGTGACTTGAATATGTTTAGTAATTTTTCTTGAAACAAAATTATTATTTTGAAACCAGTCATCCACTAAAGACAAATGTGGAAAATGTGTTGTCGCTAATTTCAGAAGTGGTGCAAATAAACAAGCATATTGTGCCTGACCTTTCTCTGCTTTAAGTAATAAATATTTTATAGGCAGCTCAGCTAAAAATTCTGCACTATAGCTTTTAACTTTTCTGCCATTAGTTATATTATTTGCAGTATTACTCAATCTAGTATCCTCATATAATAATAAGTAATATAATAAAAGCAACTGTGAAGCTAAAGTTGGTTTCTTGGTATCCAGATTATCATTGCTCACCTTTTCTAATTGTGAATTAATTTTCTTCACATTAAAATGTGTACCAAAAACAGAATTTTGAAAAATTCTTCTTATTTCTTCTTCAGTAATTGGCGAATGTGTATGATCTGAATTTGTTTTGGTATTTGGTATGATAATTGAATTGATATAAGCTTCTATTAAATTTGGTAAAACTGGATGTATAGGAGCAGTAGAATTACAAATCTGGCGATATATCCATTGCTTAATTGATACTTTATGTTTGGTAAAAACTCTTGATTTGAGTAGTTGGTAAATACAATGTATTGGAAGATATCCAGTAATATTAGCATTTAGATTTGACGTTACTGGTACTTTTACTGCATGTGAAGCCACTACCTAGATGATAGAATTCCAAGGGATAAGTAAAAACTGAAAAATAAATATATTCTAGGAAACTGATAATATTTCAATACCTGTTCAGTAAATATATCTTGTGTAAAAATTTGTTTCAATCTCGTCATGTTATTTGGCCTTAATGGCACTTTCATACCAAGTGTTGCACAAACTAATTCACATATAGCAGGTAGCTGGTTACTGTGAAAGTGAATAGCCATCAGAAGTAACATTTCTCCAAAAGATGCACTTAAACCACTCGCACTGTAAAGAAAAATAACACAAAATATGAAATAACATAAAATATAAAATTAAGTGAATTTTTCTTAAGAAAACCTTTCAAAATATGCTTCCTCTTTTAGTAACCATTGTACCCATTCAACTCCTTTTGCTTCCAGGTTAGATTGTGACAGTAAGCTGGGACAAGCAATTAGCATACACAAGCTCAGAGAAACAAAACGAACTCCAACAGGTGTAGCTGGGGGTTTGGATGTCACTAATTTAACTAATAAGATTAACTCATCATCTCCAAATCTGAAGCAATAAGATATTTCAATCACTATTTAACTACTAATCTCAGATATTCTATACACACTTAATTCCTGCAATGCTCCTCAATGAGCAATACAAACGAAGCAGAGATGTGGCATGCCTTACGACAGACTCAGGAAGATGTGAATCCACAGATTGTGATACAATATTCTAGAAATATTATATACAAATTAATATTCAATTTTCACTAATCAAATTACTCAAACATACTTTTAATCTTCGAAGAAGATCATCTCTTAACATTTGAACAGCATTTGCTGATTCTCCTTTTCTTTTCTGACTTGATCTTATAAATTGTGAAAACCAATTTCTTGCTGATTGATCAAAGCCTAGAAGTAATCCAGATAAGAAGGTAACCTACACAAAAATTTATTTCAATAATTAACACATTTCAAACTTTGTAAAAACAATTAAGATATTTATTTATCTATATCACCATATCGCCCTGCTCAGTATTATCCCAAACACTAATCCAAATGGTTAATGAAGCCATTCTACATAATTCGACACACTTGGCTCTCACACTTAGGGCTTGAGAAGGATTCATACGACACAATGCTGCTAATGCAGACATTCTGGTACGAGCTCCAACAGAATCTTCATCAAAACGATCCCCAAATGTTATAAGATGTGTTACAACTGTCAAGAAATAAAAAAATGTTTTGTATTAGAATATTAGAGTTAAATTATTAAGACAGTAATAGTTTAATAGAACAACATGTAATTTAATTATTTTCTCGATGTTTCTAATATTTATATAAAGGCAAGTGCAACCCTATATATATTTTGATATTGTGTAATATGCAAAATGCAATGTGTATTTCACTTTCGTTAAAATAACTGTGGTGCAAAGAATATTTCAATCACTATTTAACTACATACTCTAAATAAATATAATTTTATTAATATAGTTATGTTTTAAAGTTATTTGATATGTTACCTTCCATGAATGAGCTTGGTTTATTTGCAACCAAGTTGCAAATTATTCTAGGTCCATTTTGAACATGAAGGAGAATTTCTGATATATCTGTGATATTAACAAGAGAAGGAAGTTCTTCAATAGCTATAGTTAACATATATGAAAGTTCATCAACATAGACAACATGATCAAAAAGTTCAGATTCTTTTATTATGAAATCTGTCGTACTATGTTGTTCCAATATTTGAGATTGCATAAATAATATCTCAGAGAGAACTAATCTTATTCTGCGAGCAGAATCACAACGTTCAAACTCTGTGGTAACATCTTGCACATTTTCTAATAATATAGAATCTTTTCTTGAGTTTCCTAATTTTTGCCTCAATTGTTGTTCTTTTTTAACATCTTGTTCCAAGGTTACAAAATCTATACTGCAATGCTTAACTAACATATTTGCAGAATCAAATCTATTTAATACATAAATGATTTCCTTTCGCTGCTCATAAACTCTTTGTGTTAAAATCTCTACTGGCACAGGTAGTAAACTCATACGAACTAAATTTGCTAAAAATGGACTGACTTCATTTTCATTTAATTTTATGAAACTCTTTATATCAACATTTTGCATAGCAGTGTATGCTGAGGGCATTATATATGTTTCCTTAAACATTTTGATGTTATTTTTAATGTCTTAATAAAAGATTATCTTATTGAGGTTAGTACAAACAACAATACAATTCTCTATCGTTTACTATATTATGAACCCTGCATAATTATTTTAGACGCGATTTGTCATATATAAAAACAGAATGAAATGTAAACAGAAGGTTCCAATTAATATTTGTATATTTGTATGATTTGTATCATTGTTAAGTGACGTATAATTTGGATTTATAAAAGAGCGCTTCCTTCAGACTATAAATTAAGGAAACTTTACAAACTTCAGGCTAGTGTGCTATTTTAACGTTATGAAGTTGGCGCTTATTTGACACATGCACTTGACGTACAAGTTAACTTCAAATATTGTAAAATAATATAAATATTGATAAACAATATAAATATGGAAAAGTTTACAGAATTACCATTTGCACCGTTTCGAAATCTGAACGATTTCTTAATGGGTGCATCTTTATATCAACAACCAAACTTTGGTGATTTTGAAAAGTGGGGAAATAGAGTAGTAAATAATTTACTTTACTATCAAACAAATTACTTTGCTATTATTATTTTTATTATTTTGGCCATGATATTTGCATATCCTTTGAATATGCTCATAGGATTTTCTACAGCTGCCTTTGCCTATACGGGGTACCTTCAAATCACTTATAGTGAAGGTGCTGTAAAATCTTTCAAAGTTAAACATCCAGTCGCAACAGTTGGTTGTATCGCAATTGTATCAGCATTGGTATTACATTTAATAGGATCTTTAATCACTTTCCTGTTTGGGATTCTGCTGCCATTCAGTAGTGAGTATATTTCTTTCAAAAGCTAAACAATAGAAATATTAAACTAATATCAATATTACTTTTCAGTTACATTCGTGCATGCTTCTTTTAGAAAACGCAATACAAAAAATAAAATTATGAATAAAGTAGAAGAAATGGGAATTAAAAAAACACCTATGGGATTGATTTTATCGTCTTTGTCCTTGGAACCAAAAATTTTTAGTTAAGTCTTCATTGTGAGTTGCTTGCACAATACAAATTGGAAATTTAATATTTTTAACTAAATCTAGTCTTCGCAATAAACTGTTTTAAAAAGAATTAAAGCAATAAAATTGTATTTTTTATTAAAATATTGCCTGCAAGATAATTATTTATAAAAATCATTATTGTAAACTATAATTATTGAGTATGTATATATGATATAAATATTAAACTAATATCAACATTATTTTTATAATTAGCGATAGTGATTCTGCATATAAGAATGAAATGAGTCATTAAGAATTTGGAACATTAATTTCTAATTCCATGTCACTCCAAACAGCATCTGTTGCACTTTCATTGCCTATATTACTACTGTCAGCACTTGGTGTTCTATTTGAATCACCTACCAAATGGTAACTTGCATCAGAATCCGCATTGCCTTAAGAATTTTTAAGATATCTCATTTGCAAGCATGAATATAATTTTATTTATTAATTTATAAATACCTGATTCATTATTAGCTAGCAAATGATCATAAGATGCATCATTTTCTCTTTGGTCAAGCTTGTTTATGCCTTCTTGAGCTTTCTGATTATTTGGCTCCAATCTAAATATTAATATATTAAGATTTAATTTGTTTCAACAAGACTTTTTTTATTATTAGTATTATAAATATGTTTGATTATTTTACATAGATTTTCACTTACGTTAATGCTTTTGTGTAAGCTGTCAGAGCACCATCCAAATCATGAGTAATACCTGGTCTTGCTAAGAAATCACCTAATACTTGATATAATTTAGCTGAGGGCTGTATTGCAAGTTGTCGATGCAACAGCTAGACATAATAAATACCTCTTATAAAAATCACATTTTTAATCAATTGAAATAAATGACTTTCAAATCACCTGCACAACAGAATAGTTTCTATGTTGTTGTTCTAAAATATCAACCATCAATAAAACGGCAGGTGTATGAGTTTCATTGATTTTTAAAACTTTTTCTAGTATTGTCTTAGCTTTACCCAGATTGTTTGCATCTTTCATTAGTACTGAAGCATACAACTACAAACAAAATATTAAATTGATATTAAGATATTTATAAGGTAATATATTTAAAAAAAATTATCACCGTTAAAGGTCGCGGTGTGCTACCAATTTGTTTGCATGCATTACTTGCAGCATTAACAGCTTCACGATATCTATCCCAAGATAAGTATGTGTCAACAATTCCTTTGTGAATTTCAAACTGGTATGGGGCCACCTAAAATAATTCAATAAATAGTTGTTTATAAAACAAATCATTGTAAATAGATTTCATACAGTTAAAGCATCTCGAAAATGTGAAATAGCCTTATCATGCTTCTTGGATTCCAGCAAAAGAGTTCCTGAAATAGCACATAAAAATTATATAATTCAAAACAATTAACTATAGTAGTTTGTGATAGGTATACACTTGTTTATTTCACCTTTTAAAATCATGGCATCAACATTTTGTGGGTTTTCTAAACACGCTTTATGTGCAAAATATAATGCTCTTGAATTCTTCTTTAAAGCGTATTGACAATATGCTTGGGCTGTCCAAGTCTCCGATGTATATTCAAAAAGAGGCAACATTGGACTAACTAGTTGTTCTAATTCAGTTAATTTATTACTTCTTAAATATAAGCAAGCCATTTTTGACAGACCTCTATCCAGTTGTGGATCATGGTATTTTGCCTAATAATAAAAATACAGTAAAACAATATTTGTCAATTTAAATAAAGACATAAATTATAATATGCAATAAAAATACCCTTTGAAATGTTAAATATGCATTTTTGTAGTCCCCGTTATAATAATAGCTTTCTGCGAGTGCTGTAAGCACTGTTGAATTTATTCGAAGTCCAGGATATACATCTAATGATTTTAAAGTTGAAATAGCTTGGGCATAATCTTGGCAATGGTAAAATGCTTGTGCTTTAATCCATGTTCTCAGCCACTCTGATCCTTCAATTTCCTCAGTTACTAGAATTTATTCAATTTTTATATTAAAATATTACTATAACAACTGACACATTTTAGCATAACATTAAACAATATAAGGAATTTAACAATAGGTACACAATACAACATAATAAAAGATTATGATTTTCAAATAAATTAATAATGTTGTGCCATGTATTACCTTCTAGTATTATTCCTGATATCTCATTGCCTTTTACACCAAGTGATAATAAAGCATCAATTGCTTGCAGCGATAGAGGGCATTCTTTAAGTAGATCTTTATAACATGTAATGGCTAAGCGTTCATGTCCATTTGTACGAAGTAGTTCACCAAGAGCAAACATTATTTTAAGACTCCTTTGTTTAGCTGAAATAAGCAAATATCTTAAGACACCGTTTCTACAAATGCCTTTACAATTTATTTTATGTGAATAATACTACCTGGTATTTGTTGCAAAATATTCAATGCTAGCTGATACTGTTTCAGCTCCATATAGCATAAATGGAGCTTATATGCAAGTTCAGCCTCGGATATATCAATTTTATTCTCATGAGTATTAAGTAATTTATTTTTGGAAGAATTTTTTTTAATTGACAAAACGGTTTTATAAATAGTAGCAGCTTTCCTATACTGTTTTATTTTGAACAATGATTCCGCATAATACATATTACAATCAAACTTTTCAGCTTCGGAAATACCATCTGCTGTTGATAAAACTAGGTTGGCCTGAAATTAATAATTACTATTAGTAATGAACATGTTATTGTTTATAGAAATTCATTTTTCATCATGTACTTACAAGGGAAACAACATTTGAATATAATTCTTGATCGTACAATAGTTTGACTTGCTTAGAAAATAGTTGTATTCCAATCATGATAAATTACTTATTCAATACAAATCTTTAATCAATAATTTAATACCTTTGCAACATATTATTAAACAGTACTACGCGGCTAAAATATAATTAAAATTTCTGTTTAGCGTGTGAATGTCTGTGCGTTTGTTGTGTATGTACTGAGGTTGGGTATTCTTTTGACAGTTTAACAAGTGGATGACAGTTTTGACAGTCCCACATAGGGATCAACTTTTGGGGACTTTTGTCTTTGAATGTTGGTACGCCGTATTTTTCGGTCGTTTTAGCGGCATTCAATTACATTTGGATAAACAGACAAATATTTACACATGATTTACGCGTTAGATATAATATATAAATGTTAACATATATTTGAGTGACAAAGATTGTGCAAAATTAATCAGACCTCTTCGGTAAATAGACAAATGGTAGTTTAGATTTAATATTTGAATGTTTTAATTTAATATATAAAGGATTAACAGGTATGTTGTACAACAAAGATATACAAATATTTGAAACACATCAAAATACTGAATATCTGAATTAGACTTTCTAGTATTGAATTGTTTCTAATAATTTTTAAGATTGATCAGTGAATGTTAATTTCATTCAATTATATTTCACGTACTTTAATTTCAAAGGCAAGTACAATGTTGAATTCATGACTATATTTGTATTATGAAAATGACAATATACAATGGATGAAATAATAGTATTTACATAAACTTACAGATAAAATTGATAAGATATGATTAAGCATTAAAAATGGAATATGAACAGATATTTTGTTTCAACATAATTTATTGAATTCATGTTACCACACATAATTATCACAACATATAAATCAAAATGATAGTTATAATTTGTAGAAAAGTATAATGATTTATTTTAAATTCTGAACTAATAATAATAAGCATATTTAACCACAATGATCAAATTACCATGAATTCTAAAAGAGTAAAAAAATTGTTCATAAAAAAGGACATTTATTTGGGAGAAACCCAACAAATCAAGAATATCACATGATGAATTTTTATATAATTAATTATGACAGCAGCAATAATTTAAGTATTGTACATATATAAATATATAAAAGCTATTATATTATTATGGAAGTTGAAAATGAATAATTTCATTTCAATCAGTGTTTCAACTATTACTGAACTGAATACTATTAATATAAAAAGTTGACTATGTAACACATATTTATGCTTAAACATAACACAATATACACACTTTATAAAATATTACAATGTGTGTATTACAATATACACACTTTATAAAATATTACAACTTCATTATAACTTTACAATTAAAAATTATGCTATGTCCATATCTTACCTAATATCAATAATTAATTACCTTAATTTTATAACTATTAAACTTCATCAATGGCCATGTTTTGTAAGTCAATATCAGACTCTACAGCTGAGCTTTTCTTGTCTCCGCCACCGCTAGTGGGAACAGAGCATGAGTCATTATCCGATAACGTCTTCACTTGCCCCTCCAATGATCTGATGCGGTTTTCATGCTTTACTATAACAGCTTTCAATTTACGAATTTCTTCTGCAAATTCTTGCATAGCTTTCTCCTGAAATATCAATTTATCATTTTGATCGTCTTACATTTTATGTAAGCGTTGTGTGAATTCTTACATTCAGACAAACAATGATGAAAATATTAGTAAAAGCAAATAAATTTTTTGTATTATTTTTATAAATTATTATATATTAAATAAAAAGGGCTAGATTTATTATCTCTCTTAACTCAAATTTTTGTCTTAGAATAATTTTGACCATAATTTAGAAAAAAAATTACTTACCGCTATGTTTTTGTTAAGTTTTTTCTTAATATTCTGTTATTGAAAGCATGTGAGAAAAATATAATAGTGAATAATATGTTTGAGAACAATTTGTCATTAGTTATTGTACTAGCATATATAATTTGTTTCCAGTTTATATCAAAATATCAGACAACATTGTTTAATTACAATATGGCAAATTTATTAATACTTACAGACACTATTGAAGTATTAGCTGTTTGACCTCCAATACTTGTAATGGCAGCAGCTTTGGCACCGCTTGGTGGAATTTTATCAAGAACGTTTGGTTTCTTTGTAACTGTTAATTGAGTATTGCTTTGTTGAGAGACATAGCCACCCTGAATGAGAAAAACACGATCCTACTCAGCTAAGTTATAATGCTCAGAAAATATGTAGATTAGCAGAATTTGTGGATACACTTAAATGCCATGGTGCTGAGAAGCTTAAGCATATCAAACCTACCTTCAATGATATAAGGATTGGTTCCGCATCTTTGCCCTCAACCCATTCTTCTGCAGATAATGCAGCCTCATCCGATAAAGTATCAGGGTATAAATCTTCTTGGAATAATTCAGATTTACGAGGTACGGTCATTGATATTACCTGCAAAATAATTTATTAATGAACTCAGATTACTCATCATTATTCAATCAATTATTGATAAATGAAATCAATGGTAAATTGAACTTGAATATACACCCAATAATAATCTAAAATTTATCAAAATACATACTTGGCAAAATCCTGAGTTGTTAAGCCTGTAAAATTTAGCAATTTCACATGTAGTAACATCACAGCCACGTTTTGGCATCATTCCTATTCCTCTTTGTGGATCAGGTGTTTGGAAAGTGTTGATGTAATGTACAAATGGAGGTTCGGGTGTTACCTGCAAATATAAATCATTTTGAAACTGTATATTTTGAAAAAATAAATAGCACATAATTAGTGTTACTCACTTCAAAGTATCTTATAACCGAATCACCCTTTCCACATAAGAAAATTAAACTAGTATCAGGATCATATAATGGAAACATTACACCATTAGAGGTATCCAGTTCCACCATCACAATTGGTTCAGAAAGTGAATCTGGTGCCCTTAAGGAATACTGCCTTTCTGATGATTTAGAAAACCTGCAAAAACCATTATTAATAGATACTAAGCAATTATATTTTTGACAATCAATAATATTATGAATACCCAGTAGTAAATACAAGTCCATGTTTCAAAAAGATTGCTCGCGTAGCCTTGCTCCCTTCATGGCAAATGGCTTCTGACTCTACTTCACCAGTTCGTGGATCAATTAATCTTATTTTCTTATCTTTACATGTTGTTAATAATTTGGAACCATCCCAGTTCCAACATGCTGAGTAAACAACATCAGGATGGCAATCAAGATGAAATAATATTTCTCCAGTACCCACATTCCAAATAGCAACCTAAAAAATAATTTTTGTAGAAAACTGCACAAGAGGTATTTATTACTCAAGTTGATGAAATATTATACCTGATTGTCTGAGCCTGCAGTCAACAGTACATTTTGAGCGGTAGGATGCCATAATACCAAACCTACACGGCGTTGGTGATATAGTAAATCCACTACTGGTTCAGTATTGTTCGAGACAATCCACCATCAGGGATTTGCCATACCTTGGGTAATAAAAAAGATACTAACATGTAGCACAAAGTATTTTATTAACTGCAATTATCCTATTATAAAAGATTACAATTATAAATTGATGAATGTTATTAAATGAATAAAAAAATATTAAAAAAAGTGATATTAAACACACATATGAGATAAATTATTTATAAATTTAGAATGAATGAAAACAAAGTATTATTTTTTGCTCAAATAACAATTCAGTAAACATACCTTCACAACGCAATCTTCAGATCCTGAAGCAATGACATTGTCATTATGTGGACACCAAGCTATATCCAAAACCGGACCTTTATGGCCCCAACCAGAGCATGATCAGCAGCAATTCTACCAACCTACAAATAAGAACAATATTTTAACTGCACCACTTGTATAACCATTGTTTAAACCTCAAAATAATAAATACCTCAAAATAACTTGGTGTAATAATAATATTTAAAGGTATCAGTTTTTAAGAAATAAGATTTACTAAAATTATTTTTGTGATATGAAAGCTTTTCAACAATCAAATTGAGCAAATAATCATGTAAAACAAGGAAGCATTATAAAATATTTACATTATATAAAAAATATATCAGACAGAAACTTTCATTAAAGAAATAAGGATTTGAGTAAATTTGTCATTATTGAATTTATAAAATTCACAATAATTGAATAAAAGTAGTATTGATAAAAAATATAGGTTGATTATGTTACCAAAATTTTCTCGTATAAAATATCATTGATGTAAAAATAATTTTATGAATGAGTCAATGTTACTTAATCAGTGTCAAAAGATATAGATATAGAAACTAAATTATTATAAATAGAGACTGTTTGATGAGTCATCAATGACATACATTTGATAAGTCAAAAATAATATTTGGGCATGTAGATAATTGATAATGATTACCTTGCTATGAGGCAAAACAATAAAGGCACCGCCCCCTGCGGATTCGACAATGATTGCTAGAAATTTTGGATTAACAGCACAAAATGTTGAATCCCAAGAACTCTTGGACACACGTATGTTATCATAGCACTGTTCTCTTTTCAAAGCTTGCCCATAAACGTGACGAAACTTAGAACTTCTCACAACTCGAAACGACATCCTGCAAATAACAATAACAATTTTTAATCTGCGCAATCATTTTAAACACAATTACATTATAACCTAAAACTTTCAATATAAACTGACTACACAATTTGTATTTAGTACTCGATACTTCACTGATATTAGGTCATATTTAAAACAAGTACATTTGCAATGTGCTTTTTTGTTAGAAATATATGCCTTGATCATATATACCACAAATATAATTTACTATTTTACAAGACCTAAATAATGATTCTTATAGAATCTGGGAAAATATTAAAACACGCATTTACTTATAAAACTTTTCATATACCTTTTATAAATATGTACAAGCGATTTCTAGGATAAAATTATTAAATAGAAATTAACATTGGCAAGCCAAATCTAGGTTGATCAAAACTGCAAAACGGTTTTGGATAGCAACGCCATATTAGGCAATGCGCGACTCAGTCCACTCTTGAGATAGAAATGTTCATTGAGTATGTATGCCATGGAATTTGTAGTGTAACTGACAAATAAAACTTTTTTATATATAAAATATCTTTTACTTAAACGTTAAAATTACTCAATTTGTAGTATTTCAAAATATATTTAAATTTGTTTTTCTGCTATTTACTCATATATTATTTTTATTAATTGTAAAATACAAAAAAATAATTTTATATCCCATGTTTGTATAATCTAGCACAACTTTCAATAAATCGATAAACGTAAATTCAAATTTTGTATTTTGGTTACTTATTCATTTTCTTTTTTTTTTGCTTTTATAAATTTCAAAATTGAAAAATACATACTTTTGTAATTTGTAAAAGTTATAATTAAATATATTAATACTTGAAATAATTAATAATCAATGTAGTTATTGATTGAATTATTAATGTAGTCATTGAATTTTTCTAAATAATATATATAAATTCATAATTTTATATTTATAGAAAAATAATTCATACTTTTTATAATAAACCCCTTTTATTCAATTGGTGGAATTCAATATACATTTGATAAGTACAAATAATACTACAACTTATAAATATCTAACTATTTAAGTACACAAATCAAACTTTTATGATTTAAATTTCTTTCAATTTTATTTGGAATTTATTTTAAGTATTTTATTGCACAAAGCCTAAGTACTTTTTATGTTGAATGTATACATTATTTTTGTTCAACAATATATTATTTGAATCCAACAAAAATGTGTTCTATATTAGTTTGCACTGTTGTTATACTGTGGTCGACCTGCTAATTCTAACAGATATCTATCTGGATGATCAATCCAATCTGCAGCACTTAATTTTACTTGTCTTTGACGTTCAGCTTCCTTTACTTGCCACTTTTTAATGTCTAATTGAACTTGTCGAGATTGTTGATCGCCACAACCCCATACCTTAAAATAAACCACATTTATTAAAGGTTGTAAATATATACATTTAATATACATATGTAGAATATTTTATACCTCAACAAATACCAAGCCGTAAGGAATTTTTTGATAGTTAACTCTATCAAAACTTTCATCAATGCTGATTATAGGATTTCTAGGATCAGAGCCAGCACGTAAACCTTTTGGATATCCTCTGATTAATGTATTTAAGTACAGCATTTTTGGACCCTTTTCAATAAGAGAAAATCTATATACATAAAACATTAATAAAAAGATCAGTAGCATGCGATAATAAATGGATATATATATATATATATATATATATATATATATATATATAAATAAGCAGCATAATGACACTCAATACTTACTTTGGTAGTAGTTTTATGACACAACTCTCTGGTGTGCCCCAATATTGATGACTTTCCTTCCATTCGCAAGGAGATCCAATACAAAATACATGCCCCTCTTCACTGCGCATTAAGACTAGAGTAGGACCCTTATATGATAAAACATGATGCAAAAATCTATTCATTCCCAAACCGTGTTCCCTTGAATCATAAAGTAATGCCCAATGAGAAGGCACAACAGATAGTAATTTGGCCATGAATGCCTGGATAAAAAAAATAATAGTACCTAATGTTAGATTAGTTTAATTTAATTCTACACTTTAGATAATTATAAAAGATGTTCATTCACTTGTGAGGCTAAATTAACTCCAGAATCGCTAGGACTAGAAGCTTTGACTGGCTTAGAATATAGAGGCGGTAATGCACCTGCTAGTAACCATGCAAGCGATACAGGTAATAGTGGAGGTTCAACCATTTTTCCAAATGGATTTGGTTTATCCAAAATAGGTGTGGATAATTCCAAACCCAAGCCCTCCTCATGTGTGTCAATACCTCTGTATGATGTGCTGCATATATAAAAAACAAGATTAGTTATAAAATTATACTCATATTGATGTAAGAGATCAATGCATGAATGCAGAGTTCACCTTAAAGCATGAATGCAGTACTTATGAACAGGTGGTACAAGTCTAGGACAATTCTGCTCTAACCAGTGCACAACATAACCGGGACTTAATGATGTTTTTGAGTGGAAACAAGAGTCAACAACTGCAGACAAAGTTCGATGAATCTATAGAAAAGAAAGAGAAATATATATTTATATTAAAGTAGACACGCTATACATTTCTATACATTATGCTTACTAAAAGACATGTCTGTGGTCCACCAGAATAATGATCCATCGCAAGTCTGTAACACGTCATAAGTAAATCTCTTAAACCATCTGGTGTTATACTATCTGAAGAAGCAGTTCCAGAAAACATTTTAATATATCCTTCTAATATTACCGTATCATTCAATATCCCAAGAAATCTTTCACATTGTTGACGGAATGCAAGTTCACCTAAATGTTCAGTCTGAGCTTTAGAATTGGAATGAAGATATGAATAGAGACGCTCGCCTAACTCAGGGTAGCGAGGAAAAACGTATTTCTGAAAAATAAAACAGAATTTATAGATACACTTAAATATAAATATATATATATATATATATATATATATATATATATATATATATATATAAATGATCAATTTACTTTACCACAAATGTCTTTTTAGCAACGCCCTTGATACCCTCTTCTTCTTGAGACTTTTGAATCAATATCTAGAGAAAAACATAGTATCATAGTAATTAAAAATCATTATAAATAAAAAATTAAGCATTAAAATAATATCTAAAGGCATATGATAATTTAGTGATAGATAAAATAAAAACATAAATGATAATGTACCTGAGCTAGTTTATTAATTGGCATTAATTGAGTAGATACGAGATCCTGAAAGTCTGCACCAGAAGGCGATCTCAGGATTCCCCTTTTCGGAATCTCATTTTCCGCTTTTCCTTCAGACTCCTTATCTTCATCACCGTTTTGACTTAATTTTTTGCGACTACCTTGATTTCCCATATTGTTTAATTTAACACATAGCTTAAAATTAATGAATAGACTTTACGAAATAATATTGTGTACAGATTTAAAAATATTATTCATTATCACATAACTGAAATTAAAGTCATAGCTTCACACCAGGAATAAAATAAAAATATACGCATATGTTACGAATGTCACATATTGTTAAATAATCTCCAGAAATGTCACTTTTTGTCATTTGACAGCTGCTTGATATGATTATGAATAATACAAATAAAACTCAAGTGACAGAGTTGACAATTTTTAATAATATTTTAATGATTGCAAAATACCTATTGCTTTAAAATCAATTTAAAGACAAATTTTATTAGATAAGTAAGTTTTAAACAAATTTTTAATCGATGTGTATATAAAAAAGATAATATGGGCAAAAATAAAATGATAGCAAAAAGTTGTCCGAAATGCGAACACCAGGTAAAACATACTTACTAAGGAAAATACTTTTTATATTATTTGCTTTGTTGGTTTCATATTATTCCGTTATTTCTTTGCTTCTTTTTTATTTTATGAGATACTTAAAATACCATAAAATAATAATTTGTGGTTATGATCTATGCATTCAAATGATTTACTTTTCTATAAACAAGGCTTATATGTCAGTATGTTAACAATTTTCTTATATAGTAGGAAGTATTCTTATTTTGAGTAAGAAATTTTAATTACCTTATATAATATATACCTGTTTCGGGGCTCTCCATCGTTTCAGTACATATTTCAAATGTGGTTTCATGAATCATAACCTTATAAAATGTTAATTCTTCAATTAATATTAATAATTCCATGTATGCATTAATAATAACTCTATATAAACGTTCAGAGTATGAACTTAGAACCTTCACGGTATTTTTGTTTCATTATTTATTTAGGTGGCTGTAGCGTGTAAAGCCTGTGTTTGTGGACACTCATTTTTTAATTCAAAAAAACCTACTCAAAGAGTGGTATCTCCAGAAGATCAAAGACGTCGTACTGGAAGAGTTCGGAGAGAAAAACCAAATTTTTATGATTCAAGAGAATATGAAAAAGCACCCAAGAAAAGGGTAAGTGTGCAAATTTATGTCCATAATTGCACCTTTTCAAATTGCATTTTATAAAGTAATAGTAGTCATATTCTTATCAGAACATTTTTTTTTTTTTGTTCTTATCATTTTATATCAATTATGAGAATAACTTTAATTTATTGCAGCAAACTAGGACTAGAAACAGTGATTGTATTGATGATGATGATACAGGTGTAAATCGTAGAGATGCTGTTAGTAGTAACGGTACAACAGCCTCAAGAGCAAAAAGAAGAAGAGCTCGTAAAGAAGAAATTGATGGAGGTGGTGATCTCGTCGCTAAACTGTCGCCTGAGAAACAAGCCCTTTGCTCCATAATACTCTCAGAATTGAACAACAAAATACAAAGAGTATTGTGGAAACCTAGTTTTTGATATTTTTATCTATAGTAAATTTTTAAAATTATTAAATCTATTATAATGATAAGCTCATATTATTGTATATTTTTTTATTATTTTTTAGTATTATTATACAAATATGCAAGATGCAAATAGACAAATTTGTGCAATGTTGTTTAACATATTTGTGATTTTTTATATAATTCATTAACTGTATATATCACATTTTATATTATTTTGGATGATATCACACAACTTATTTTGCAAAATATATCAACCACAACTGATTCACTCTTCATAATTGAATGTTGACTAATGACAACATTTGAATTATATAAATTTAATACTTTCTAGATACATAATTTTGTCATGTGGTTTGCTATTAGAGAAAATAAGTTCTCACTTAAATTACATATTAATGATACAATATTTTATTAAAAATATATCATTTAACAATAAATTAGTATTTATAATTCCTCGAATTTCAAAGAATTTAAATACAATCAACACATATCAAATATTTTCACATTATTTAAAATAGTTAAAATTATTCTTAAAAAATATAGTGGATGCATATACAATACTTCTAATTAGAATACACCCTGTAAATTATATCTATTCAATGTAAGACACTTATGCACATATATGTACACACACATATACATATTATATATATATATATATATATATATATATATATATATATATATATATACGTATACATTTGTACATGTACATATATTCATATATCCATCTGCAAGTACTTCGAAATAATCAATATAATATTTTTGAATTAATGTTATAAAATTAGTATTATCTAATTTGTATCAAATCTAATACTTTTTTAAGGCAATAATAAATAATGGTTTTAATAATATTTCACCTTTATGTAGCCATATACGATTTTTTTATGATCAAATGATATTGCAATCTATTGGATAAAATACACAATCAATTAAAAGTATATTAAGTATGGCATTAAACATGTATAATATAAATTAAGCTTTCTCAAGTAAATCCTTATTGCAATCACTGTCAATATTTTGGCTAAGTCTTTTCTACGATTTATGAATGGTATAAAACCCCATATAGTGGCACCACCGATTAGAACTAAACCTAGCGTGGTGATTAATGGAACATATGTGCCAGCTCTTTCGTACCATAAGCCACAAAGTGGGGGTCCCATCAATTGTAATATTCCATTTACAAACAAACTTATTCCATAAGATGAAGTGAGCCTTTCGGTTCCTAACATATCTGCCATTATAACAGCTGTTACACCAACATAAACTCCAGAAGCTACCCCGAATATTCCACAACATACACATACTAGTACATAATCATGAGCAAGGGGTAGTAGAGCAAGAGATACACCTGATATTGCTAACCCGCCAATAAAATACCATTGCTTTGGAATTAACTCTGTATCTGACAAGGCTGAACCGCCGATCCTACCTATTAAATCTAATGCGGATACAATGGATAACAACCAAGCAGCTAATTCTTTATCGAAACCTAATGTGATGGCATAAGATGGTATGAGAATTACAAAATTTGTGTAACTTATAGCATTTGTGCAATTTGATATTAAAATTACTAAATAAGTTGGATCGCACAGCAAACTGATATCAAAAAATTTACTTTTACCATCCTCCTGGAGTTTTTCTTTACTTTTGTAACAGGTAGATATTGGATTCAAGGATTTTCCCAATGACTTCAAGCTTATGTGAGATGTAAATTCTGATGGTTGTAGAGCTGATAAGGTGCTACCGTGATAAGGCGTGCTTACATACTGAAAACTGCTGGTTGAAGGCGACCTTTTCGGAACTTTACCAATACTCCTCTCTTTCAAGGAAGGCAACCGGCTATGAGAGTAGTAGTCTTTAGATCTTGCAGATTCCGGCACCGAATGAAGTGCAGGAGTGCTCATCATTTGATTTTTGGTTACTGAATTCGTTCGATAATAATCACGTGTCGGAACGCTAGTTTTCCGTTCTCGTTCTTCATTCTTTCGATAGTTTTGCACAACAACTGCCGAAGCACTTCGTATAAAACCATTATCCATTTCAGAAGCAAATTTCAGCTGCGTTTCAGGAGACAAATTTCCACTTTTAGCAGGAGAAGCAAGCATTTCATCAGATGTTATCATGAATTTGGCGACCTTATTATTTTCCGGAGTAATAGGAGATTCGATTACGGTAGATTCTCCTACATCAGAGTCTTCTATCACACGTTTCATATGTTTCTCTACCGGTTGGTAAAAAATAGCCGCGACCCACACATTTAAAGTAACTGCGCCCATAATTAACACCGCGCCTCTAAAAGATAATGATAACAATTACTTTTGTCCGAAGGCCTCACATGTTTTACTTTATAAAAATGTAAAATCATTTAGAATAAACTTATCAATAATAACTGTATAATTAGAAAATTGCTAAAGACCTGCTATATATAAGACCAAAAAAACTGCTGAAAACACTCTCGTAGCGAAAAGGTTAAGCCTACAAAATAGTACTTTTTATATTACCTGTATCCATAGGCTTGTAATAAATATCTTAAGACAGGAGGTAGAACTATTGATCCTATTGCGCTACCAGAAATGCACAACCCATTAGCTAATCCTCTCCTTTTTACAAAATATGATGTGACTATATAAACTGTTGGAGGAAAACTCAGGCCAGCACCGGTTCCTACTAAAATTCCATAACTGAAAAAAATCGATAATTTACATATGCCCTTTTACAGTTATTTGTAGAACTAAATTATAGTTTTTATTACCTGAAGTATAAATAAACAACTGAAGAAGCCCAAAAGCTAATTATCATACCAGCAGCTGCAAAAGTACCTCCAAGAATAGTAACAGTGCGATAAGAGTATTTTACAGAAAGAATCGACGAGACTGGTCCTGAAATAGAAGTTAAAATCAAAAATTTATTATTTTTGTAATAACAGTAGTTACTGTAATAAAAATAAGCAAGTTTTGGGATCGAACTTGGGACTACTATGTGCAAGCCCACGTTTCTTAACTATAACACCTGGACAGGCTTATGTGAGTTATGCTAAAAATGCTAGTAGATAACTAAATGCAAATATCTTATATTACTAATTTAACAATGGGTAAGATTTTTGGCATGTAAACATATGTATTGATAAAAGAGAACCTGACTGCAGAATTGATTGAAAATTTCCATAATGCCGAATGCATAATGATCTACGTAACCTCGCTAACACAGCACATTGCATAAGAAATACATTATTAGTGTTATATATAAATAAGTTTAAAGTTCAAATCGTTAATACATAGATTAAACAACTAATTCTGCGGCGGTTTTACTTTTGTTTTGTCTAAAGAATTGGATAGGAGTATAATGGATTGTTGACATTGAATTAATATTTTTCATTATTTTGTTATGTGCAGCATAACTATCTCTAGCTGAATTGATATATTGAGACATATACGATCAAATATAAATTTAGCTACTTAAAAATGTATATATAAAACAAAATTTTGGTCGTTTACTTATCACATCGGGAAATATGATAAAGCTAATTGGATTCTATATTGGAAAGGCTAACTATTTGGTCAGGGATGAGATATTAGTACATGATTCAAAGAAAAATTAAAACCAATTGTGTACTAACTGCTAAAATGCAAAGGCCAATACAAAAACTTATTAGAGTTTAATAGGATTACTATGCTGACGTAATCACATCATTAGAATTCTTATCTCCGATTTGCATAAATTGGCAAACACTTATACACTGAGCCAATAACCATTACAAATTGAAATCGAACAGTTGACAAGATCAGTACAATGTTGCCGATATCAATTTAATGGTTGACTAGTGGGACTAATTTATCTAGCGATAAACATTACAAATAAGACACGCCATACGTGGTTCCATTGTTATAGTTTTTGACTCATGATAAACTTCAATAAATTTCCTACTTATCAACTCGTAATGTATTAGACTGTGATTGATGTATAAATCGACAAAATACTCGACAAAAGTTAATTGATACAATGTCGCAATAACGAATATTAATTACAGATTGATGATGCAGTGGCATTTGGAAATAAGATGTTTATATAATAAAACATAATATCGTACATGAAAATATTATTTTACCTAAAGAACTGTAAAGAAAATAGCACAGTGCCGGAATCCAGGCAGCAGCCGCTGGACTGGCATCAAAAACTTCCAAAAACTCGACGAACAGCACACCAAATGACTTGACGGTGCCAGGCACCAGAATGTTGACCATCATGGAACCGGCCAGGACGAGCCATCCCCAGCCTCCGTCCGGTGGCACCAATTTGTAATGCTGTTCGCCCTCATAATCCGACGTTGTGGATAGGAGACGAGCCGGAGGACAATTTTTGCCATTCTTCACCATTTTGACTGAAATAAAACTATGGTTACTAATCATGGAACCATGAAATAGGAATAGCAATTATATATTAGTAACAACAAACCATTGGAAATGAGAAGATATATCAAAAAAATCTAACATTGAAGTATATAATAATTATTAGTCTTTAATTAGTGTCATTGCTACAAGTGCTAAAATAAATAATATTCATGAATATTATGATATAGTCAATATAATAAAAATATTGGATAGCATCCGTTGACAAGTAATAAATGGTTGACCAATACCCAATTATCATGTATGACAACTTTTGAAAAAAAAAATGTTCTCAAATTTGAAGATTATTAGGATATTTTAAAAGAATTAAATGGTTAAAAATCACCCAGAAATAAATAATAATATACCAGAACTAGTTGGTTTGGTATTTAACCTTGCGGCAAATTACATGAACTTCCCGATATGTGTAATTAATCGAATTAATCAATAGAAACTAAATTAATTTGAGTGATTATAAATATTCCGAGTGGTACTGAATCTTGGTACTGAACCCAAAAAAATTACATATAATATGTACACAATATTAAAATCTCTATAAAATATCTGATAATTTGATGTACATAAGTCCCCAATGGGTGTAAAATTACTACAATGTTTGTAAACAATACTACAATGGGTGTAAAAATACTACAATGTTTGTAAAAATACTACAATGGGTGTAAAATTACTACAATGTTTGTAAAAATACTAAAATATTTGTGAAAATACTACAAAGGGTGTAAAATTACTACAATGTTTGTAAACAATACTACAATGGGTGTAGAATTACTACAATGGGTGTAAAATTACTACAATGTTTGTGAACAATACTACAATGGGTGTAAAAATACTATAATGTTTGTAAAAATACTACAATCGGTGCAAAATTACTACAATGTTTGTAAACAATACTACAATGGGTGTAAAATTACTACAATGTTTGTAAACAATACTACAATGAATGGGTGTAAAATTACTACAATGTTTGTAAACAATACTACAATGGGTGTAAAATTACTACAATGTTTGTGAACAATACTACAATGGGTGTAAAAATACTACAATGTTTGTAAAAATACTACAATGGGTGTAAAATTACTACAATGTTTGTAAACAATACTACAATGGGTGTAAAATTACTACAATGTTTGTGAACAATACTACAATGGGTGTAAAAATACTACAATGTTTGTAAAAATACTACAATGGGTGTAAAATTACTACAATGTTTGTAAACAATACTACAATGGGTGTAAAATTACTACAATGTTTGTAAACAATACTACAATGAATGGGTGTAAAATTACTACAATGTTTGTAAAAATACTATAATGAGTGTAAAATTACTACAATGTTTGTAAACAATACTACAATGGGTGCAAAAATACTACAATGTTTGTGAAAATACTACAAAGGGTGTAAAATTACTACAATATTTGTAAACAATACTACAATGGGTGTAAAATTACTACAATGTTTGTAAACAATACTACAATGGGTGTAAAATTACTACAATGTTTGTAAACAATACTACAATGAATGGGTGTAAAATTACTACAATGTTTGTAAAAATACTATAATGAGTGTAAAATTACTACAATGTTTGTAAACAATACTACAATGGGTGCAAAAATACTACAATGTTTGTGAAAATACTACAAAGGGTGTAAAATTACTACAATGTTTGTAAACAATACTACAATGGGTGTAAAATTACTACAATGTTTGTAAACAATACTACAATGGATGTAAAATTACTACAATGTTTGTGAACAATACTACAATGGGTGTAAAAATACTATAATGTTTGTAAAAATACTACAATGGGTGCAAAATTACTACAATGTTTGTAAACAATACTACAATGGGTGTAAAATTACTACAATGTTTGTGAACAATACTTCAATGGGTGTAAAAATACTACAATGTTTGTAAAAATACTACAATGGGTGTAAAATTACTACAATGTTTGTAAACAATACTACAATGGGTGTAAAATTACTACAATGTTTGTAAACAATACTACAATGAATGGGTGTAAAATTACTACAATGTTTGTAAAAATACTATAATGAGTGTAAAATTACTACAATGTTTGTAAACAATACTACAATGGGTGTAAAAATACTACAATGTTTGTGAAAATACTACAAAGGGTGTAAAATTACTACAATGTTTGTAAACAATACTACAATGGGTGTAAAATTACTACAATGGGTGTAAAATTACTACAATGGGTGTAAACAATACTACAATGGGTGTAAAATTACTACAATATTTGTAAAAATACTACAATGGGTGTAAAATTACTACAATGTTTGTAAACAATACTACAATGGGTGTAAAATTACTACAATGTTTGTAAACAATACTACAATGGGTGTAAAATTACTACAATGTTTGTAAACAATACTACAATGGGTGTAAAATTACTACAATGTTTGTAAACAATACTACAATGGATGTAAAATTACTACAATGTTTGTGAACAATACTACAATGGGTGTAAAAATACTATAATGTTTGTAAAAATACTACAATGGGTGCAAAATTACTACAATGTTTGTAAACAATACTACAATGGGTGTAAAATTACTACAATGTTTGTGAACAATACTTCAATGGGTGTAAAAATACTACAATGTTTGTAAAAATACTACAATGGGTGTAAAATTACTACAATGTTTGTAAACAATACTACAATGGGTGTAAAATTACTACAATGTTTGTAAACAATACTACAATGAATGGGTGTAAAATTACTACAATGTTTGTAAAAATACTATAATGAGTGTAAAATTACTACAATGTTTGTAAACAATACTACAATGGGTGTAAAAATACTACAATGTTTGTGAAAATACTACAAAGGGTGTAAAATTACTACAATGTTTGTAAACAATACTACAATGGGTGTAAAATTACTACAATGGGTGTAAAATTACTACAATGGGTGTAAACAATACTACAATGGGTGTAAAATTACTACAATATTTGTAAAAATACTACAATGGGTGTAAAATTACTACAATGTTTGTAAACAATACTACAATGGGTGTAAAATTACTACAATGTTTGTAAAATTACTACAATGGGTGTAAAAATACTACAATGGGTGTAAAATTACTACAATGTTTGTAAAAATACTACAATGGATGTAAAAATACTACAATGTTTGTAAAAATACTACAATGGGTGTAAAATTACTACAATGTTTGTAAAAATACTACAATGGGTGTAAAATTACTACAATGTTTGTAAACAATACTACAATGGGTGTAAAAATACTACAATGTTTGTAAAAATACTGCAATGGGTGTAAAATTACTACAATGTTTGTAAACAATACTACAATGGGTGTAAAATTACTACAATGTTTGTAAAAATACTACAATGGGTGTAAAATTACTACAATGTTTGTAAAAATACTACAATGGGTGTAAAATTACTACAATGGGTGTAAAAATACTACAATGGGTGTAAAATTACTACAATGTTTGTAAAAATACTACAATGGATGTAAAAATACTACGATGTTTGTAAAAATACTACAATGGGTGTAAAATTACTACAATGTTTGTAAACAATACTACAATGGGTGTAAAATTACTACAATGTTTGTAAAAATACTACAATGGGTGTAAAATTACTACAATGTTTGTAAAAATACTACAATGGGTGTAAAATTACTACAATGTTTGTAAACAATACTACAATGGGTGTAAAAATACTACAATGTTTGTAAAAATACTACAATGGGTGTAAAATTACTACAATGTTTGTAAACAATACTACAATGGGTGTAAAAATACTACAATGTTTGTAAAAATACTACAATGGGTGTAAAATTACTACAATGTTTGTAAACAATACTACAATGGGTGTAAAATTACTACAATGTTTGTAAACAATACTACAATGGGTGTAAAAATACTACAATGTTTGTAAAAATACTACAATGGGTGTAAAATTACTACAATGTTTGTAAACAATACTACAATGGGTGTAAAAATACTACAATGTTTGTAAAAATACTACAATGGGTGTAAAATTACTACAATGTTTGTAAACAATACTACAATGGGTGTAAAAATACTACAATGTTTGTAAAAATACTACAATGGGTGTAAAATTACTACAATGTTTGTAAACAATACTACAATGGGTGTATAATTACCACAATGTTTTTTTACCGCAATTTTTTACCGCAAAATGACATTTTTTAACTTCCCGAAGGAGAAGTTTATGTTTTCATCAAAAAATCCGACTCGCTAATTTTATGTTTTCTCGACGTTTCAAGCCATTCTGAATCGAATGAGACCAAATTTGGAAAAAGTATTCAGAAGTAGTAATTCAGAATTTTTGATGAAAACCTAAACTTCTCCTTCGGGAAGTTTAGAAGAAGTCCTGAGAAGAGTGGGCAAAGAAAGGCTCTACTGAGCACAATTCTGAGAAGAAAAGAAAACTGGATCGGGCCTTTTTTGTAAAAGGAGTGCCTCCTGCACGACGTCGTCGAGGGTAAAATAGAAAGAACAGAAGGCATGGGAAGAAGAAGAATGCAGACGATTGACGACTTGCGCCAGAAGAGAAAATACAAAGAATTGAAAGCCGAAGCACATGATCAGGAAGCATGGAAACAGAAGTTTGGAAAGGAAAATACATGAAATAAAAAAATTGGGATAGGGAATAGTGGTAATGGGATGAAGGGCAAGGAAATCATTTATTTGTTGTGGCTCTCACACCATGGACCTGCCTTCGGGCAGACTACTACTAATTATTATACCAGAAAACTAGTACACACCGAAAACGAAACATATGATGTATAATTCATAGTTTCTATTTCTAAAGTCTGCAAATTTCAGGTTCTATTTCCATCCTAGCAGCTTGATATCAAGCAGTACATCAATACTTGAAATATCTAATAATAATCTTATCACAAAGACAATTGAAACCATTGGCCTTCTGATAGCCCTGGATTATAAGGAATTACATG